GCCTGATGGAGCGTCTTACTGCTGAAGCGGATGAGAGGGGGCTCTACAGTGACTTCATTTACATGAACTATGCATCACCCTACCAAGATGCCATTGCTAGCTATGGAGCAGACAACAAGCAGAGGCTGCAAGACATTGCGGCCAATTATGACCCCACGGGCGTCTTCCAGACACTCCAACCTGGTTACTTCAAGCTCGATGGAGCGCCATATGGGGAAATATCCTCTTAGTCCATGTACAACATTTTATTGTATAATGTATATGTATATTCTGTAAATAGACGTACAAATGTCCACATGAATGTCGGTGCACAGTCACGTTGCGTGATTTGCTTTTTTCCTGGATTTTCTTGTATATGCAACCTGAGAATGGCAAACATGTGCCAAAGGTACACATGCTGCACAAGGCCGTGCCGTGCTTCCAAATGATAATGCGCCAATGGGAAGAGCCTGATGACGAGCCGTTCCTTCGATGGAAAACTTGACGTCGACGGAATGAGGCTGCCAAGAATATGGTCATAGCGCCCGCCCAAGCGTTTGCTGCAGCTACCTCGAGGTCTTTTTGTCCGCCTTGGAATCTTCCATCAACACCCACATACCCCAAAGCCGACCACCCACCTCTTAATCGCAACCCTCGCACCACTTGGACGTATACGCGACACCGATATCCAGATTGCAAGCATGTCTCGCGGCGGCGGCACAACGCTCTACGTCACCGGCTTCGGCCACGGAACACGCGCTCGCGACCTTGCCTACGAGTTCGAACGGTATGTCTCCCAACGCCTCGTCCCAACTCGATCGCCCTCGCATCTTCCTCCTCCATCATAACCATCGATCCTGCATCTCCTTGCTGTTCACGCTCCGCTGCTGTTGCGACTGCTCCCTCGCGCGTTCCCGCTTTCTTGCTCGCGTAAGCAGCGCCTGCACCAGGTTTCATCACGCATAAAGCGCCTTCCCGAAACTATTCTGACAACATTCAAGCTATGGTCGCCTTGTCCGTTGCGACATTCCGGCTCCCCGTTCGGCTTCGTCTAGGCTGTGAGTTGGCCCTCCACCCCAGCCACCTTCCCAGGCTCTAACAGAACAGCAGCTTCGCCTTCGTCGAATACGAGTCTCGCCGGGATGCCGATGATGCGTACCACGAGATGCACAACAAGCGCATCGGCCGCGACGACTTGTTGAAGATTGAGGTATGTTTAGGAGGCTACTACGGACGCAATTGAATCTAACAAGACACAGTGGGCACGTACTCCTCCCTCGGCATCATGGCGCTTCGATTCCGGACGTGACCGCCCCCGTGGTGAGCGCTCTGAGCGTGGCGGTGACCGAGGCGACCGTTCCGACCGCGGTGATCGTGCAGACCGTGGAGTGCGCTCTCCACGCCGTCGCAGCACTTCCCCACGCCGTGAACGCGGTGCATCCCCTCGCAAGGATGACCGCCGCGAACGCGACTACGACCGCCGCGACCGTGACCGATCAAGGAGCCCCATTGACGGGGACCGCGAGATGAAGGATGTCCGCGACCGTGAGGACGACCGAGGCGACCGTGATCGTGGAGACCGCGAAGAGAGGCGCGAACGTGAGCGCGAGGCTGAGCCGCCTGCTGAACCCCGAAAGAGTGAGACATCCGATGCCCTTGACGACAAACCGGTCTAATCACCATCGCAGTCGAATCTCCTCCGCCTGCGGCTCATGACGACCTGGACGTAGCTGAGTAAGCCATGAGCTGGCAACCCTCCAGCAGGCAGTATCCGGATTACTGCCGCTGTGTGCACAAGGCTAGTATTGACGCGCGTGCTCGAAATTGGTACCTGCACAGTGTTTTTGTTGAGCGGATAATGGTTTCTGGGATCATGTTTTGTTTCTCCGAGTGGAGGCTAGAGTTACGTCTATGTCCTGCCACGACATTAATGCATTCAGCAGTCGAAAAAAGCTCGATTCGGATCTTCTTTGGCGAACGGTCACGGCGATTACCATTCGGTTCGGTCTTCTCGCCTTGTTTCGGTCGATCGGTCGACATCGATGCGGTTCGAGTTCCTTGCCTCCTGTACACTATTCGGTCGGTCCGTAGCACCTCGAAGTCTTCCAACCTCACTTTCCCTCTTCGATTCCCCCCGTTCGATTTCAGCTTCCCGCTATTTCCCGACGCCCTTCCCAAACCCGATGCGAAACACCCGATACTCAAGGTTTGTATACTTTGCGCCTGCTACTAGATAGCCCCATGTTATTTTGTGACTGTGACTTGTATTGCCTATGTATTGAGCAGCTTGTAAGCTTAGTTTCGTTCAATGTACGCCCGGACTGTTGAGATTTGCCGTGTCCTCGTGACTGTCTGGGGATCTGTGCTTTGCAGGTGCGTTGATGCGTATATTTGCACCAGACGCCGTGCATCCCGTGTACGCAAAGATTACCGTATTGATGTTGAGTATCCGCAGCGTGGCGCATGACAAGGTGCCACGCGCCTTGGAAGGTCGGAGGCGGTTTACGCTGAGAGGGTGAATACGGTCCACACTATGACAAAGGTGGCTTAGACTATCCGCCACGCAAGCTCAGCCACCCTCCTTCGTACGCCGCGACAACTGATGTGTGATCAACTCGGCACTCAGGTTCACCTATTATCCGAATAGTCGCTCATTTTTAATACATCTTCTACACACTTACACTTCGCTCACTCATTTCCTTTCGATTGACATTGTCTTTGACGCCACAACACCGACCGGGACAGCATAGGTGATACAAACAGTCGATCGACAACGAACCAGACATTGCCCAGCTTTGCCGCGGAACGCGTGCAGCGACCTCCTTCTAAGATTTGCCTCTTAACTGGTGACTCTTTCGCTTCTACACTACAAACTTGACAACTTCTTTCACAAACCGCCAACATGTCCAAACCATATGTACGTGTCCTTAACCTTGGTTGAACGATGGGCGGTTGCCATTCCACTCTCCTGTGGCGCGCACTGCCGTCGCCATTCCTGTTTGGCACAATGAGCGCAGCATATTAACGCCCAACGCAGGACCAAGGCGCACCGCCTCAATACCCTCAGAATCCAGCGCCTGTTCACTACGACGCTGGTCCTGCCCCTGGAGGCATGCAACCCTCATACTACAACCAAGGTGGCGGTGCCCCTGATTACTACGGCGGAAGCCCGAACCCTTATCAGCAAGGCCAACCAGGACCGTACGGTCCGCCACAGGGCCAGTACGGCCCTCCTCAAGGACAGTATGGTGGACAGCAGATGCAATACCAACAGGGACCGCCTCCACCCGGTGGATATTACCAGGACGATAGGAGGCATGATGGCGGAGGTGGCGGGCTCTTTGCTGGATTGTGCGCGGGTCTGGCGTGTTGTTGTTGTTTGGACTGCTTGTTCTAGGCCTGCGGGCATGAGGGCTCAGCACTAGGAACAAGAGTATTGGAGTGAGGCAACAGACTGGCCCAAGGTATTCGGGCAGGTCAGAAATGCCGGGCGCATGACGGGCGTGATTGTACATGCGCAGGGGCGTTGGGAAGAAGGGGCGGAGACTGGAGGCTTTGTTTTGTTCCGATGGTAATCTATCCGCGACACGATGCCATGCGGCAATGGCGTAGAGTAATAATCAATCATACGAGTCCCAAGATGCGACGAGGCTGCTGGTATTGTGATTTACATTGCATCATGAATGTGCTACAAGAGCAGGAGGTCAGCCTCTCTATCCAAAACTAGCTTGGTTGTGTCCAGCCACAGGGCGTGTCGCCTCAGGTATGCGGCATGAACATGGTTGCCCTTGGCTTGGGGCACCCGGGGGACCCCGCAGCGGAAACCAAATTGCAGCCGCATCAGCGCTCCAGCTCCAGACTTGACCCTTTGTGAGGAACGCTTGTTCTGAGTTTGGTGCCATTGACGCCGCCGCGCGTTTGGAATCTGTCCCCCGCCTGCTGTGTTTCGTCGGGGCTGATCAGCGGCCGTGTGACCTGTGGGACGGAATCGATCCACCACCCTAGAAAACAACGCTACCCTTGTCTGCGCCATGCACAAACAAATAAAGAAGCAGCGATCTGCACCCAGAAATCAATGTCGTCTGGTCGAAGGCTGGTCTAGTCTGCGCTTGGACGCTCACCTGCACTTCTCGTGATTTCTACATATCGACATCTTGGCCCAGCTCTCCACCTCTTCCGCAACCGTACGCACTCCGCCGTCGCCACCCAACACCATGATAATCAGCGGTTCGATTGTCGCCATTGTGTCCCTCCTCCCTACAGTCTGGTCGGTGCCGACAAACTACACCAACAAGCTGCCTACGTGTGGCGCGGTACGATGCACGTCACGCTCACGCCGAGCTATGGGCTAACCAAGACGAACAGAACGAATGTCTTACCGACGGCTACTTTGACGGCTGCGCGCCTGGCAACCTAGTCTGTATATGTAACTTGGAGCAAGACGATGTCGACAGATATGTCAAAACCGTGCAGCCATGCCTCGACGGTGAACCAGGCAAGAAGGCATGCACTCTCGGAGCAGTTGCCAGTAAGCCGTCAACATGAACCCCCAATTGCGAACGACTCGTCATCTGACTCTGCCATTCTAGACTACAAACAGTTGCTCGCAGACGTTTGTTCAAAGCCCGAGTACGGCAACTTGAACAAGACTGTCTCGTTTGAGCCAGTGCAATACCCTCCCCGGTGAATTTAGTTGCCGATATTCACGCCAACACGCTTCATGAGATTGCACAAACCACAGCACGACGCCTACGTAATGGATAATAGACACTCCTTTGATACCCTTTGAATACTGTCCTTACTTTCCGTTACTGTTTGATTCTTTACTCTGGCTTTGCAGATACAATTTGCGGTACATCTTTCCAAGGCGCACTCGACGTCCGTCTGCAATATCGGCTCTCCGTCTTCAATTTCGTCTTCTGACCTATCCAACGCTGCTATCTATGACTAACATGTTGGTCATTGAATACTTTTCTATTTCAGCAAGAACTTGAGACCTCCACAATATACAGCAGTTTAACATGAACATCAGAGTCAACAACATTCTGCGTGAATACAACCCGCCTCCGGTGGCTAACTCTCCTTCTCCTTCTCCTTCTTCTCCAAGTCTTGCCGCTTCGACTACTGCATCTTCGACTGTAGCAGATTCTGTACCTTGTCTTGTAAGATGTTCTTGCGCCTTCAAACCGACATCCCAACTAACCCAGCCAGATATCCAAAAAATGCCAGCAAGTTGCGAGAGACAAAGCACCACCTGACAGCGAAGAGCTTGGCTGCGACAGCGCCGCTCTAGAGTCGGGCTACTTCCGCTGTGTCTGTGCCAAAACACGGTTTCTGGGCCACAACGACTATTTCTCTGCGCATTGTGTACTTCAAGAGTGTAAAGGCGACGGCGATAAGAGAGGTGAGTTTGCAACTACTACGTTTATAGAGTGGGAAACTAAGTCGAGTCTGACATAGCTTTTATAAAGCAGTACAAAGACGGTTGCAAGCAGATAGGAGAGACTCTAGCAGATATTCCTAAGGAATGGACCCCGTTTATGAAACCGCGTGCATCGAGTTCATCACAGCATCCTCCAAGTACAACAGGTGGTAATACACTTGCCAGTGGTACTCCTAGCACCACTACAGCACCAAGCGCGACACCCGACCCAACCAGTTCAGCTACTTCTGCGGAAATAAGTTTCGTACCTGCACCAACACACTCAACCAGCCAAGAAACTCCATCGCCAACCCCATCTTCTTCTCCCGTAGCTGCAATTTTATCAACCCCCCAAAGTACGCCCAACACAGCCGTCATCGCAGGAAGCGCCGTCTCCGCAGTCGTCATCTTCGTCCTCCTCATCGGCCTTGCAAAACTCTACTACGACACCAGGAAGAAAGCAAAACAGCTCCGCGTCGCGAATGCCCAGCTGGAAGATGCAACGAATCCAGATGGTGTCTCGAACCGCATCGTGACGCTCATGGCCGGGTCAGATAGAGCATCTGTAGCGTCTCGAGGTAGCCCTGTAAGCGATGCGCGCGACGCAGCCGCTTTTCTGAATGGAAATACGGCAGCGCATAACGCGGAGATGGCAATTGCAGCAGCTGCACAATCCAGTGTGAGTGGGGATTATACGGAGTATGGATCTGATAAATATGACGGGTTCGTTTCTGAATATACGGGGTATGGTAGGGAGGATGGGGGCAGTGCTGCGCGCTCTTACGACGGAGGGGTCGTTGGTGCGGAGAGGAGGTTCTCGGAGGTTTCAGAGAGTGATTATGGGAGTGTGAAGTATTAGAGGGTGGGAGATGCGTGTGTGTTTCAATGCCAGGACCAGGGATCTTATTCTGGGAGTAGATTGGGTTTTTTTTGCGAATTCTAGATTATATTGATTTGACAGGGATTTTGTACACTGTCTTTAATGCTTGCTTGTGTGGTGCCCATGACCTTTGGAAGACGAAGTAGTCTTTCTTGTCTTCTTCCACACTCCCTGTAGATAAGTGCATATTCTCCTCATCCTAAAAGCCCTAGAAATATCCAAAACCCCAACACATTTACAACTCTATGTTGAGAACGTAGATACCGCCATTGCTCCCCCCTCCCATATTTCCGTTTCGCCATCAAGCCCAAATCTTATATAAGTATACAGGAAGGAACCAACCACTCCAAATTGTTGATCATGTCTCCCTGTTCCCGAAATTGAAGTTGTATACCCATCTTTCTTGTATTCCCAATCCGTAGTCGTATGCCCACTCTTCGTCTCTCTCAATCTCTAGTTATGCACCCACCCTTCCTGTTTCCCCAATCTCTAGTTGTACACCCACTCCTCTCACACAACCATGTGTCATTACCCACCACCACCTTCCCCCTCTCCACCCTTCATCTTCTGTTCTCCTGCTTTTTTCATCAACAACTTTATCTCCGATCCAAGTCTCTCGACAAGCTCATCTCGCACACACGTACAACCTCTCATTCTTTCTTTTCTCCGGTTTCGACATGCTTGATAGATTGTTTTCCGAATAGCACTTGAAGTAAATGCAGCATGGGAAGGGCGCTATATAGAAGAAGCTGGGAAGGGAGGGCTCCCGCAGACCATACAATCACCTTTTCGCTCGAACCTGACACCAACCGGTGATCAGCGGAAGGAGAGGCTCAGGCGCGTCTGATCGCTCAGTGAAACAAGGTACGATTGTGCTTTGCGTAGTCGTCGCCGTCAGGTGGAACGTATCTCAGAGAATAGTCGTTCATCTGGGGATATAAGACTGCCGTGAGTTGTAAGTTTGTTCGTGTGTTGAGTCTTCGGGGAAGACCTGGATGTGTTCTGAAGGCTGATGGTGGAGGCGATCAGGTTCATGTCCAGTATCAATACCTCGAATACAGACGTCCACTAAGATACCTCACCACCTGAAGGAATCGCAATCACCAGTAGTGGCACTCACTGACCCTTCGACTGCTACTGCACCAAGGTAGTAGCTTCAACGCCAAAGATCTATAGAATTAGCGGCTTGAATATTGTGTCCATGCCTTGCTTCTCGGAGAGTGTGTATATATGGAGTGATATGGGGACAAGAGAGCATGTTGAGGTTGATTGGGACGGTCTATATGCAAAGAGTCTTGTGGGTTTATACGCTTCCGGTTCGGTCTCGTCGGCGGCCCGAGAATCGAGATGAGCTAGGGGTTTTCCGTCTGGAGGACATGATAAAAAGAATTCAGACGCCAACCCGCTTGAAGTGTTTGTAGAAGGTGTGAGAGAAGAGCAAAAGTCAAGTTCCTTGGCGTTGATGCTTTTCGATATGATCGAAAGTGTGTCGGCTCAGGTGATTGAGTCGTCGTGCCGGGTACTCGATTTGTAGGATATTCCGGACACGTGTAGATCGACGGGGGAAGGTGAACTCCTATCTTGAGCGCTTGACTGACGGCTGATATGTGGGTGTTGATGACACCCGGTATAGATGCGGTATCTTGCTGCGTACAATAATGTATCGCTGTACTGTTCTTGCATATATACGTTGGATCATTTGGTCCGTGGCTCCTATGAGAGCCGGATTGACCCAGACGAGGCTACAGTTTTGGGTCTTCTTTCCAGTTGTCGTTTCTTTGACTTGTACCGTCCGCGGGATGTACTCGCCGTAGAGGTATCCGTGACATACCGAGAGAGAGGTCATTCAGTTATATGTTTGCTTATTATCTTCTCATTTCATGGCATTTATCTGGGCCGGCGTATAGGTGGTCAGTGGCTGCCGTATGCGTTGGTGGCAGTCTTCTAGTTCATGAGAATGTACTCCGTGAGACCAAGATGTATCTGCATGATTTTGGCCGTGATCGAGTTTCTTAATGTCCAACTGCACATTCTATCTCGACGTTAGAAAGATTTTCAAGTGCGGAAGATACTTTGGGAGTTCACTTACTCGTAGATATACGCGGTGGTGTTTCGTCGCAGGGTATATAGGAATGCTGATGTGTATACTTTGGGCGGGATTAGTTCATCCTTTTATTTATTCTAATCATGCCATTTCTGTAAAGTTTCTGACTGCGTTTGTGTATAGTCAATGTGGTTGCGCAAATACGTTGATTTGTTTTTAGTGCAAGATCGTTGCTGTCAAACTTCGGATTGCTGCAACTACAAAAAGCAAAATTTTCTCCAAACCAGAGAAGCTGAGGAATGAAACTAGGATTACATGACAATTTTGTTTCAAATGAGGAGGAAGAATCTAGAACAAGTACTCTGTGGTTTCTAGCACAGCTGCTTTGTCACCACTTGTGTAGCTGTATCATAACTGATCATAGATTGAAGACCCTAAACTCCCCCTTGAGATGTCATTAGGAAGACAAGTTTTCACCTATCAATCGAAAATTGGAAAACGAGTGGCATCTGGTTTGCCAGCACATAACAAGCATATCACGATACTCTTTGGGAAGCAATCGTTGGAGCAAATAACGGTCTACTTGATGTATTTGCTAGAACATGGGAGAAGTTTGGGATGAAGGTTTGCTTTAGGAGAACAAGGAAACAGCGGAACGAAGAAGGCTAGGGAATTCTTGTTCTGACTTAGGTTGCAATTTTGGATTACACCAGATCGTGATGAGGTCTACGAAAATGTTTAGTGAGGGATGAGTGTAATGGAATTTTCAGGTCTTTGCAGAAGTATTCAGGCCTTGATAATCTCGACAGGAGTTTTACTTCAAAGAGCTACCCTGGGTGTTTTCTAGTAAGTATTTAAATACATCATCCTTGATTTCAGCACTCTTGTGACTTCCTGTTAGCACAAAAGTATCGCAAAGTATGCAATTCTTATCAGACGCGACAAGGGTCGAGTATTTCTGACTAACAATTGAGCAACGACAGCTATACGCCATTTATGGAGAATTATCACGTGTCTGTTTACATCTATGAATGTTATAAACGATGGCTCCATTCTGTGTCAGCAATATTCTACACGCCGACGCCTGGAGCGGGGCTGTGAGGCACGTGCACAGACCAGTCATACGTCATCATCGACTGCGCCTTCACCACTCGTCAACACCCCTCAGCCTCAAAGATACCCAGTTTTTACAGCCACTTCTCCGAGACGTACGTATTTGTAGCATCCCGAGATCTCCGCAGTCACCCTCCAAATCCGCAGCATCATAAATATGGCTTCGCATAACACCGACAACCCATGGCAAGACCAGCCTAGTCAGCAGCAGCAAAGCTACCAGAGCCAAAACCCGTACCAAACCTATCAAAATCAGTCTCACAACCCATACTCTCAACAAATGCCACCAAATCCTCTAGGACAACATCCTCCTCAGCAGCATGATACATCTCCATGGGCCCAAGAGACCGGCCAAACCCAATCTCACAACCCTTACGCCCAGACTACCCCTCAGGAGACTTCTCAACACTCATACTATCAACAAGACACACCACAGCAACCCTACCAGGGTCAGACATCCAATACTACTCAAGGAGAGGTACCACCTGGTCTGCCACCCCGCCGCACAGCCACGGAAATGGCGCTCCCTACTGGGCAAGACCGCTCTCACCAGATCGAGGTCATGCAGAGCTATGAAGCGGCAGGAAGAAAAGACGATGACGACGAAAATGTCGAGATTCTCCAACGCGAGTTTCCAAAGCTCGATGGAAGCCTTATTGCCGCCATTTACGGCGACAGTAAGAGTCTGAGTGCGACTAGGGAGATGTTACACGCGTTGGAGTAGATGGAGGGGTTCTGCGGAAGTTGGGGTCAGATTGGAGATACACTAAGCGGATCCGGATGGGTTGGAGAACGAAAGTATACTCGGGGATCGCAGTGTACCTTGTTGGAGGCTTATGTGTGCATGGCTTTTCCCCCTGTTAGTATTGAGTTTATCGTGCAGTTTAAATCGTCGACAACCTTTGAGGTTCGCCAGGCAACCGCCTCCACCTACATTATATCCACTGAACACCACAACATCGTTACGATACTACTATGAGTTTCACATGCAGTGATGAAAAAATAAAATCAACCTTCAAGAAATACGAGAGGTAGGCCGATTGGTGTGTTTACGTGCATCCAGTGGGACGAGTATTTGGAACAAATGAGACACAAGGCGGGCCCTTAGGACCACGGCTCAAGCACATGCAAAGGCCCGCTAAGATCGCTTGTTCGCTCGGGCTAAGTCTAGCCGACTTCCCCCGTCACTTCTGCGAGACTCCACTCGACAGCCTTGGTGTTGTGAACACACCATCGCCTGTGGTGCTGCTGCCACATGAAAGTCCTATCATCTTTTGCAAGATGCTCGTTGTAATGATCATACACCACACGCTCAACGCCAATACCTACAAGTCATAAAAGCCAACTTACAAACCATCCATGACTAAGAAAACGCAAACGTGACTACCGTACATAGGCGCTGCATTGCCGACGAACCTTCCTTACATCCAACACGGCATTCCCCAATCTGGCAACCCCGCACAACGCCCAGTCCGCCAATACAACCACAATCTTGATTTTCTAGCTAGGATCCCATACGACATTCCCTTTCCCCCGCAAAAGACAGCCGTTCCATAGCAACTTTTTTCTCCACAGTTCCCCACATTTACCCCGGGCCTTAGACTACCACCATCCATCAAGGGCATCCAAACACTACTATGATCGTCCTGGAGATGCAAAATGCATTAGGCCTGTAAAGGAAAAACCGGGTGCACATCAATGCGGGTATCAATGAGTATATAAAAGAGGAGGGGTGGATGTGTTGATTGGGGGGTGTCCCACAATATTTGTATCAACACCATTGTGAACTACTCTTTGCACAGCAGCGGGTGTATAGAGCAATTTTTTCTTTTCAGGATGGGTTTTACAGAGTTTAGGGGCAAGAGCCTTATTACTGTCATTCTTTTGACCTCGGGGCTGGACTTTTTGCTCTTTGGATGTGAGTGTGCACGCTGTAACACGTAAACCGTCCAAGTAATCGGAATCTGACACTTTGGCTAGATGATCAGGGTCTTTTTGGGGGTATCCTCGGCGGCCAACGCTTCAAGGATACGCTGGGTAATCCGAATCCTACGATGACGGGGCTTGTGACAGCCATCTACGATATAGGATGCGCGCTTGGTGCTGTTGTTGCGTTTGTGTATGGAGAGAAGATTGGGCGGAAGCGGTCGATTATTCTTGCCAATCTTATCGTCGTTGTGGGAGCTGCTATACAGACTGCTAGCTTTGAGTATTGGTTAGCAAATCCCCTTTTCAGGATAAAAGAGAAACGTACTGACATTTCATACTTCTCTATAGGCAAATGTTCGTCGCTCGCATCATTGGCGGTATCGGTGTCGGGCTCTCGACGGTTGCAGTGCCAATTCTGCAGTCAGAAACACTACCTGCGCACAACCGTGGTGCGTTACTGGTTGTCCAGTCTGCTCTCATCATCATTGGTGTTGCGATTGCTTCTTGGCTATGTTTCGCGACACTGTATGCCAATAGCTCGCTGCAATGGCGCTTCCCTGTTGCTTGCCAGATTTTGTTCTCGCTCATGGTCCTGGCGCTCTGTCCGTTCCTATGCGAGACACCGCGATGGCTGGCATCTCGTGGTCAAATCGAGGAGGCAAGTCCAATCAATATGCACCAAAGTGTTATTACTGACGCTGTAGATAGGCTAAGCATACTATCAGTCGGTTGCTTGACAAGCCTCTCGATGATGAAGAAGTTCAGGGACAGCTACAAGAGATTCTCGATGCGATTGAGGCCGAGAGCAGCGAGGAGGAGCCCACCTGGGGTGAAGTCTTCAGCAATGCCACCAAGACTCGAAACTTGCATCGTGTCCTTCTCGGCATGGGCCCGTACATGATGAACCAGTGGTCGGGCATTAATGTAAGTTCTCTTTTGCTTGAGTTTTACACCTAGATACTGACTTGGGCACAGGCTCTCTGCTACTACCTCGCCTACATCTTCCAAGAATATCTCGACTACACGCCGAGCATGGCTCTCATCCTCGCGTCCGTTGCCTTTAGTCAATACGCAGTTTTCTCTTGGCCTCCATACTTTTATATCGACAAGATTGGGCGGCGCTGGTCAGTCATGGGATCTTCGGCTGGTTGTGCAGCCTGCATGGCCATAATCGCTGGTTGTCTGGCCAAGAACAGCTTCTCGAGCGCAGCAGCCGCAGTGGCATTTATATTCCTGTACTTGGATTGCTTCACGCTTGGCATCTTGCCCGTATCGTGGTCCTACTCTGCCGAAATCCAGCCTCTTCGCGTTCGTAACAAGGCTACGGCTGTGGGTGTCTTCTCGCACTGGATGTCTAACTTTGTCGTCGTCATGGTGACACCCATTGGTCTCGACAACATCAAGGGCCACTACTTCTGGGTCTGGGCTGCTGTTTGCGCGTCCTTTGTACCGCTTACATACTTCTTTGGCGTGGAGACGTCTGGAAGGACGCTCGAGCAGATTGATACGATGTTCTTCGAGAAGCCAAGAATCTGCATGGGTCTAAACAAGGAAAATAGGCAGGTCATCAGGAGCACCAAGTCGGATGAAGAGCAGAGGTACAGGAGTTTTGCGCACATGAATGAGAAGCAGGAGGCGGTTATGGTGGAGAGAGTGAGCCAGGGTGATTGAATGTAGCTTCCCACGTACGTAGTCATTGCAGCGTTCAAGTAGCACAGTGATATCAAGTTATATGAATCCCATAGCAACAAATTCATTTCATGAAGAGCGCAGCGTGTATCATTAGCGACAGTAACATATGTTCCCCCCTTTCCTCCATGTGCTCATAAAAACAAAACAGAAAAAAGAAACTTCAAGGTTCATCCAAAAGTTCATCACGGTTCGCCCTGAATCCGGTACTCATGCTCAAGCGCCTTGATAGCAAACGCCGTAGGCACACCCCGATTTCCAATCTTCTTCTGCGACCTTCCAAACCTGCACACCCAGCCAATTTCCCAGCCTCCATCGCACTCCTGCAGCTCCTTGAGATACTCAATATCGGACTGGGCCCAAACCCCCAACTTCTGACACGACAGCACCCTTGCCGCAACGGCAAACGAATCATCTTTCTGCCCGACCCTTTCTCGCAGCGCCATCGCCAACGGCTCTCTCAGGGCTTGAATCTCAGGCTGACTCTGATTCGCATCAACCAGACAGGCCATAAAGTACAAAAACGGTTCTGCGGAGTTATAAACTGCGCTACCATTTACGTAGGCGCGGTTAAGCAGGATACGGGTGACGTATTCGAGTTCGGGTTTTACTTCGCTGCCGCGGTTGTAGTGGTAAAAGACGCGGATTACGTTTACCAGCACAAAAGGGCAGAGCCCGGGCCGGTTGGGGTCGAAGTAGGTTCGTACGAGGTTGTCTCTAGTGTGACGGCATTTGGCCATGAGGTCGAGGATGGGGTTGGCGGAGGAGCGGGGTGGGGAGAAGGCGAGGAGGGCCATGGATGTGTCGTCGACGTCGTCGGGGACTGTGAGGGTAGATTTATTTAGATTTGGGGGGGCTCAGGAGAGGGGAGGTAGAGGGTGGGAACTTACATGTTTTTGTTGTGCCTACGGGGGTGCCGTTGAAGTAGTTCCAGATTCTTGCTTCGGAAGAAGCTTTTTGGATGTCGGCTTTGATTTGGGCCTCTGAGGCACCGGGGACGGATAGGGTGAGCCATGAGGTTTCTTTGAGTTCCCATTGTATGAGAAACTGAGAGAATCGTTCAGGGAACTCTGTACCGTCTTCTATGTGTGAAGTGTGTTTGTGTGCGTTGTCGGCCATATACTTGCGTGCCCGGACGACAGGGTCGAAGAGCGTGTTTCGCAATTGGCGGAGGAGAGCTGGTGCTGATTTGAAGACGATGCCCTGAATTCCAAAGGAGCGTGCTGCAGTGACGTTGATGATTTTGTCGTCGACGAAAATGGCCGATGACGGGTCACTGACGCCGATTGTATCAAGGACGTGTTTGTAAAAGTTGAGCTCGGGCTTGGCCATGCCAGCGTCACACGACGTAAATTCGCCATCAAACATACTCCAGTCAGACAGCACAGTCTTGAGATGTGCAAAGTCGTGCTTGGAGATGTTACTCATGGCGTAGACCTTGAGGTGCCCATCCATCTCTTTCTTGATCTTTGTAATCTCATCGATGAGATCCTTGTCTACACAAAGGGTTTTGCGGCATTGTGTCAAACCTTCCTTTATTGCTATTGGGTTTAGGGACAGATCTTTGCCTATCTTTGCGAGAGCTTCGTCCTCGCCAATGTGACCGCGATCAAGCTCGGCCCATGTGGGAGTCAGAAGAACTGCCTGGAATTCTTGACGAGAAAGGGCTGTGAGATAGCGAGAAGAGTAATGAAAGAGCACGTCACCGAGATCGAGAATGAGTGTGCGGTGGCGTGGTGGCGTGGAAGCGTCCACATTGACCCTCCCGTTCCCTAGCTGAAAAGCGGCACGGCCCATGATAGTAGCGTTTCTAGTAGGATGATCACCCGCGGAGTAGTGAGAAGTATAATGATTACTCGATGAATTTCAAGCAGAGCCAAAATAATTTGTGAAAATCTGTCGCCATTGTGGAAGGGCGAAGACCCATTTCTACCCATTTTGCATTGGCCGGTCTTCATGATCGACACCAGGTTTTGGCTATTCATGATTCAGTTGCAGCACAATCAGTGAATCGTTAGCGTTGATAAAGCGGTGCGTTTATGTTGTCGTTGACTAAACAAGTAAGGATATCAACAGTAGTCATGTTAGACCGTTGTCCAGACGGATTCGGTAGGAATTAGGCGCCATACCCGCCGTAAGGAGACTGGCTATTCGCTACTCCTTCCGTTGTTGCGCGCTTCTTGTCGGTCTGTGTCCAATGGAAATATCGTTGATAGGCAAGGAGGAGGCGCGGCCTTGGCATTATTGTAGGATCCAGGGTAAAAGCTCTTCAAAGTAGTGGATCTGCTATGTTCCTCGGAGCTGGCCTCGTATGATAGGGTCGGAAAAGTTGCCCCTCATGGCCTGCAGAGACAAGAACAGAAGTTTACCATGATTCGAATGTCGAGTCCCTGTGAATAGACGGGTTGTGTATTGTGTATTGTATATTGCACAAAGGCAAAGGGGATGACTGATGATTTGAAGCTTGCAAGATGTGCAATGGCGCCAAGAAGAATGACTCGTAGTTGAGTACGTGATCCTAGCAATTCTAATTTTCCTGGCGATCCTGCCAATCCTACAGAGAAATGCGTAGGCGTGTCGCGGGTATGCCGCTTTGGGGGATTTAGGGAGGATGGCGATAGTCGTTGGACGGGGGTTGTGGCGTGCAGGGGGAGCCCAAGCCGTTGGAACCTTGGCCGCGTGTCGCCCCGGCCCAGCGTTCCGCGTCTGCGTCCAGTTCCCAGCCCGACCTGTAGCTTCACCTTACGTACATGGACAGCCGCCATTACCCCACGCACGCCCCACCACAGACAACAACGACGCCGTCTCCAAGCACCACAACTACACACATATACACACAATGGCGCCTCCAGTATCTTTAGTTGTACGGTTTGGCGACACGCTTCAAGGCAGCAGCACCCCGGGAAGGCTAATGAGGGGTAGGCGAAGCTCAAGATACAGCTCAAGCTGTCTATATCGCGACTGCGCATGGTGCAGCAAAAAGACAGCGCAAAAGTAAAGCAGCAAAGGCGGGAGATGGCGCAGCTCATCGAGGTACGCATGGCAACGTGCCCGTATTTCCTTTGCTTTTCATCGCAATGAAAAAGACCGCGCAAGTGACCGCGCGCATACCACCCATCACCCACCACCTGCTGACCTGATCCCCCCTTCCCACTAGGTCGGCAAAGTCCAATCCGCAAGGATACGCGTAGAAAACATTATTCGCACAGACATCACCACCGAGCTGCATGAGATCCTCGAACTCTACTGCGAACTCTTGCTTGCCCGCTCCCAGCTCCTCGAAAACCAGATCTCGTCTTCAAACACGACCTCGGCGGCTTCGTCGTCGGCGACGCTGCTCGACCCCGCATTGGAGGAGGCCGTCCGCAGCATAATATACGCTGCGCCGCGCACGGAGATCAAGGAGCTGCAGACGGTCCGGGCGCTGCTCGTGGATAAATTTGGCAAGGATGTCGCCATAGCCAGTATGGAGGGCGAGGGTGTTGCAGAAAGAGTGATCAAGAAGCTGCGGGTGGAAACACCAAAGGAAGAGTTGGTAGAGGCTTACATGACGGAGATTGCAAGATTCTACGGCGTGCCTTATGGCACATCCAAGAGCGAGGACGAGGCTGAAGACGATGAAGACGACGACGAACCCTCGGGCGGAGTCGCCGAAAGAGCTGAAGGAGTGCTCGAAGACCCACTGACTGCAGACGATGCGGACCCCAGTAAAAGTAAGAAGGCGGAGGAGAGAGAGGCCCTGGCCAAAGCTACAACACCAAAGAAACTTGGCCCCCAAAGTCCGCTGCGAGTCGTGCCTCCCAGCCCAAGCACAGATAATGTCGCTCCCAGGTTAAAGCTGCCAGGCAGTGCGGCGGCCAAAATCGCAAAGAGCGATGCGAAGAAGCCGGCCAAGAAGGAGGATGGGCTCGGCAAGATACCAGACGTCGATGAACTGTCGAGACGATTTGCTGAGCTCAAGAGGTGAGATGTAGGACATGTTCTATGTGGAAGCACTTGCATCCTATGATGAAGCATGACTCTAAAGATCCTTATATGATACCATGACCAGTTCACAATCACATCGCATCAAGTCCAGTCAAGAAAGGTTGTTTGTTCATTCATTAAATTAGCAGTCTGCTTTTCTCGCTCGCTATGCTTTCACCCTATCATGGACCACACCCTTCACAGCGCCTGAATGCTCTTGAAAAACCCATTCGCCATCAACTTCTCATTTCCCTTGACCAACTCCCTCATCCGCTCCACCTGCTGCTTCTTCGTCAACCCCTTACTCTCCACCTCCTTTTTCCACTCCACCAGCACCTCTTTCAGCAAGCGACTCCCATCCTCGACCTCCTCCTTACTCGCCTGCACAAACCCCTCTTCATGCTTTCCAGAAAAGTCTTCAAGCTCATCCGCCTTGCGCTTCGCCATATTGATGACTTTTTGCGGGAAGCGCACCAGTTCCGCGACGTGAATACCAAAAGACTGGTCAGAGAAACCCGGTTCTACCTTGTAGAGAAGCGTGACTTCGCGTTTCTTCTGCGCAGCCGCATTCTCCATGTCTACATCGCCATCGTCGTCGGCGGTGCTGCTGCCCTCGGAAATATGCGCTACGACGTGCAGATTCTGGACCTGCGGATACGTATCCGTGAGTGCGGTCAGTTCGTGGAAATGTGTGGCAAACAAGGCAAATGCCCCAATCTCCTTGATGATGTACTCGGAGATGGCCCACGCCAGTCCGAATCCATCGTACGTACTTGTTCCGCGACCCAGCTCGTCGATGATGATGAGGGATTCCTTGGTGGCGGATTTGAGGATATTTGCTGTTTCGAGCATTTCGGCCATGAAGGTAGATACGCCTTTGATTTGGCTGTCGCTGGCGCCCACACGTGCGAGTATGCAGTCGAAGATGGTGAGTTCGGCTTCTGAACAGGGGACGAAGCATCCGATTTGGGCCATGAGAGCGATGACGCCGATTTGGCGGATGTAGGTCGATTTACCGCCCATGTTGGGTCCTGTGATGATGAGGAATTCGCTCTTGTCACGGACTAGGGAAACGTCGTTTGTTATGAAGGAAATGTCGTCTTGCATTTCCATACATGGGTGTCGCGCTTCTTTGAGAACGGTATCGCCGGTACCTCGTGGGTGCATCTTGGGCCTTGTGTACGAGGTTGGCGCATGAACGGAGACATGTGCAAAGGCTACAATGACATCGAGGTGTGCAAGCACTGCGGCGAGCTTCTCGATGACAGGGACGTAGGATGAAGCTACCGAGACGACTTCGTTGACTAGACCTGCTTGTGTGCGGTTGTAGTTTTCAGACAACTGGTCAAACTCCCTGCGCTTTTCTTGCAGAGTATTTGTTGTGAAGTAGACACCGTTCTTCTGTGTCGAGATTTCCTGGTACTGCTTCTTTTGTCGAATGCAGCCTGCTTCATTGCGCGTCAGACGGAAGCACCAGCCATTGACTTTGTGATTTTCAAGGAAAAGCTTCTTCTCTGTATCTTGATTAAGGTCGTCGCCCACACGCATATGCTCAGATTCCATGTCGCGCTTGAGCTTATCCAAGCGCTTTCGAATAGTCCTTAGTGATTCATCAAACTCGGGCTTGATGATGAATTCATGATTGTCGAGAGCCTCCAAGTCAACCGTCGTCTCCACCATATCTTGCAGACCGGCAAATGCTGTGGTATATTGGCGGAGTTTCTCCGTGTACTCTGTATCGAGCGGCTCTTTGTATTGCTCATCAATGACTGCCTCGAGAGAGCTGAGGAAACCTGGTAACCGAATGACAACCTGGTATGCCCGCACAACGTCTTCCAAATTTGCTGCCTTGCGTTGGAACTTCTTTGCTAACCGGTATAAGTCAGGTATTGAGCGTAAGTGCTCTTCTTGCATGGTTTGTCTCAGCTCTGTATCATTGGCGAACGCTTCAACCAGCTGCTGCCGTCGTTCAATCTCGCTGATATTCATCAATGGCTGCTTGAGCCATTGTGCCAGTAACCGACTGCCGGTTGGTGTTTTGCAGTGATTGAGCAGACCATACAAACTCATGTTCTTAGCACCATCTCGTGGTCCAGGCATGAGGTTCAGTGCTTTCAGCGCGGCCGCATCGAGCTTCATGTATTGTGACAGGTCGTGTTGGTAGAGCTGATATTGTCCAAAGTTTGATGAATCAGACATAACACCCAAGTACCGGATCAGACACGCAGCTGAGCCCATGGCCAACTTCTGGTCTGTCAAAGGCAGCGAACCAGCAGCACGATCGTCCTTGAGCAACCGAGGCAAGTCTTGCTCGATGTCTTTTGTGCCAAAATCGGCTGCTGCTCGCTCTGCCACTGCACATCCGCAGTTGTCGGCGATAGTCCGGAGCTTGCTGAGCTCGACATCCTTCTTTGTTGAGTCCAGTTGTACCAGGCACTCCTTCACACCCAGTTGGATGAGTAGTGACTCGAAGTTGGAATAGAGATCATTGTCAAGAAACTCTGAAACGCCCAACTCCCGTACACTTGCATCGGCAAAGCATACACCCACCCTTCGTGCCTCCGATGCCTTGGCCGAAACCTTGACCGCCAATATTATCGGAGCACTCTCAATCTGACCGCCCAGCTCATCCTCCAGATCTTGTAGGTTGCCGGGTGATGCCTGTTTGACGACTTTCCAGTCCATGCGCTTGGCTGTTGACTGCCAAATCTCAATGCGTTTGCTGAGTCGAAATAGAGCGTCTCGGAGGAAGTTGCGGAAAACGGTGACGGTCATTGTGACGGACTCGAGTCCTGGTTCTCGTCCCAGCTTGCGGATTACGGCTGTGGTTTTGTAGACCTGGAGCAATGTCAATTTGTTGATCATGCACTAATCCTTCACGAACAAACTTACAGTATTCGCAATGAACTTGGCATCCTCGCCGTGGGCGCTGTAGTAGTCGCCACGGTCGAATATGCGCACCGTCTCATTGTCCTTTTCTTCTAGATTGCGAAAGAACTTGCAGAAACCGGATTCATCCTCCTCCTTAATCTCTGGTCTAGACGCCATTTTGAGCTATGCAGTAAACGATAAAGGCAAAGTTGAACACAAGAACGATTGAAGGTTGATGCAAGTGGAGTTGATGATTGGATACGCTATCCGTTAATTGATTCAGACGCGTCGACGCGTCGCCTCCACGCCAAGCCTTGTTATCGATAAGCATGGCTACTTAAGGATTATGACACATCTTCCCGTTCCATGATTGCATCTTTAAATTATCAATGACACGCTGAATAATGCAACAATGTCTCTTATCTTTCAGATTGGCTAGTGGATTCACACAAAAACTAGTGCTACTACAATTGCTTCTCCAATGGACACCAGGAGTATTTAGCATCTACTCATCCCATATAGCTTCGACAATCGCCAAATTCGAGCCCTGAGGATGATGCATATTACAAAATTTGAATCTCGCATCTGCATCATGTATCAGAGTCTTCCACTCATCTAGGCTGCGTTCTTTGGCATTTCCAATTTCCAACATGGTCAGATCGATACCCCTAAATAACTGATTAGCGTCATGGCCGCTGATGGATGCAAGACCTGAGTATAAGTACCTAAGTTTTCGTTCCAAATTATTGGGAAGAGTTCCGGGAGGAGGCATGACTGTATCTACGATCAATAGCCGCGCGCCCTTCTTCAACGCTGGTATCAGCGCTCTTAGCGCTTTGAGACAGTACTTGTCAGACCAGTTGTGTAAGGTCCAGCGATAGTAGTAAATATCAGCGTCTTTGACTGGTTGCTCTTCGAAAAAGTTGTGTGCCATGAATTTGACGTTCAGTCCTTCTTGTTCTTTCGAGTTTGCAACAACTTCGGGCAAATCTTGCACAACTAGATGGAGATTGGGATATTTCCGCGCTAGTGCAAAAGCTGCATCGCCGTGAGAGCCGCCCATGTCGACAACAGTTCCTGGTGCTATTGAGCTCCATGAATATCCACCTGTCAAGTGGCGAAGTGAAAACCCGTCGCCGGTGGTGAAGAAACTCATTCCTTCGCCAAATCGACGAGCTCGCTCCGGATCACTGGCCAAGGCTTGGTAGAAAGACAACTCGGTTTCGTGTCCCAATGAGAATCCCTAGAAGCTGTTAGTCTTCTGAATTCATGGTCCTTGACGTGCGCATACAGTGTGGTTTGGCTCGGCAGCCTCGGGCCACTTTTCCAAAGCATCCACGAGCTTTTCAGCCGCCGGCCACATCTCGTCAACATTTGCTGCAACCCATCCTGCTGCGCGAGTATCATCTGCAATCTGTCTTGACGCTGCTGAGTGTTTTATAACGCCAGGACGAGGCTCTTGGAATACACGGTACGTGATGCCCATGCGAAGGATGCGTGTAAGAGCCCCTTCATCTATACCAATTTCCGCTGCGAGATCTTTGAATGTTCGCTCACCGTCCACCGGGACTTTATGGGCAATGTCGTAACGAGAAATTAGTTTAAGATGTGCCAAAATATTGTGCTGGACGTCAATCAGCCTGAAAATCGCTTTGGGGCTAGTTCGAGTTGCGAACCTGGTGATTGAAAATCAGCTCCCTAGGACCTTGGAGAAGATCATTCAGTTCCTGAGTTGCCTGCAGAACGGCAACACGTGACTCTTCGATTTCGGAAGGCAAGCCTAAATCGACCGGACCATGAGTATCAAAAGATGGCTGTGGAAGGTTATTGCCGGAAAGAAACTTGTCCACTCGAGTGGTATGATGGGAAATGGTGGCTGCCAACTCGGCTATGCGGCTTGATGGTGAAGACATGGCGACGAATGAATCTCCAAAACGGAGTAAATGGTCTTCCATCCCGTCTCTTATACAGGAAATACCGGCAGCAAAGGCAACTCCTTTCATGTTAGCGGTAAACTAAGGGGTTTGCTCAATCATCAGCTCTCTGTCGTCCTGTAGTGCATATGCGCCCCCAATTGAGCAGGGGTCTAGTGCATCGTAAGCCGTATATATTCTATTAAGCTTTTACGAGTCCTAAAGTGGTAAAATGCATTAGCGGAGTGGACCAAGTGAGCCCACAAGGTGTATTATCCGATATTGGCGCGCCGGTGATTCGTTGGTGGCGTACGAGTTGGTGGGGTGAGGGAGCGTTTCCCGCCCTCTTAGCAAGGCCAGACACACCCAAAGACTTATTGACTGTCATTGTGAGCTGTCTTGCTTCCTGATTATCAATAAGCAGATAGAATGGTTTCAGTTCGGGCTGCGATACATAGGAGAAGATCTTGAAATAGCAACGCTACTGTCTAGAAGACTGAGGGGCTAGATGTGGAGGTGGGTCTAGAATTTGCTGATAAGGCAACCCACGTTTCCCCACATCTGCATGATTGGAGAAAGATGAGAAATATTTCACATTATTTCCATAATGTTGAGCCGATGCAACAGGGGGTGAATCACGAACTCTTCTATTGACTGTGAAACTTTTGAAATTGAAGTTTGTTTGAATAGTTCGCCACTCAGTGTTCACACCCTCTACAATCCGGCACAAATAGGACAGCTCCGAATTACGCGTCCCAGTGGCCAGCCGTAGGTAAAGAGCGTTTTAGAAGATTTCAAATCGCTGTAATAAGCGGGAGGATATTGGCATTGCAGGTTCGTACACTAGACTTAAAATTTTGCATACTTCGCTTGGTCGGATTGCCGTTTCAACGCCAAGTCGAATTACTAGGTGCATCACAATCGAATGAATGCAAATTCTCCATCGTTGGCTGTTTGGCGATGCGTATTTTAGAATCATGAATGCGGTCATTTAAGTCCCTTCCGCGGCTCTCGGCGCTCGGTCGATTCAGTCCACTGTGAAGTAACTGTGAAAGCTAGCGAATTGATCGATACGCCTCTCTGGGCTATAAATGCGCATAGGGATATTGGTATGCAGCTGGTAACGCATTTCCTATAGCTTCTCCTCTATCTCATCCAGATATTGGCGAGGAAATATTGTTACCACTCAGCTCTGCTTGACGTCAAAACATTATCTCTACTAACAGCCATACTACTCAATGCAGTTAGTTTTGTAAATCTATCGTGTTTACCAAAACCACGCAATTGGGGAGGAGATTCGCTTATTGTAAGGGTTGAATGATGTCCAAATTCCGATCCTTGTCTTCCGGCACTTTTCTTTGTGTTTACTATCAGTGAAAAAAATAATTCACGATTCGACATCCGCCATGGCGACAACCGCCTGGCATGAACGTTGAATATGGATATCATACTATGAATGCAGGCACTGCCCAAGCTAAAAACTCAACCAAAAACTCACGCAACAAGCAAAAAAGGAGAAGCCCGACGTGGGGGTCGAACCCACAACCTTGAGATAACCAATCGTGTCTAGTAAGGACGTGAAAGCTAAGAGTCTCACGCTCTACCGATTGAGCTAGCCGGGCTTGTTGTTTTTGATGAAAGACTTCACATTTGCTGTTCCTATGTTTTAATCACAAAATCTTTTTGGCAGCCATCGCTCTACAAAATATAAGTTCTCGGTTGTGCTTCGTTCCAAGGTTGTGTGGTAGTAAAGAAAATTTCGTATGGCTAGGTGGGGCCAGTAGCGGCGGCGGCGGCGGCGATGGGTCGGCGAATGTCATTCCGAGGACACTGCGCAAAGTGTCACCGGCAAGCATATTTGATTACCATTAGCTCAGTTCTCCCATACGATATCCTAGGATATGTGATAGTTTCGAGACAAGGTCCAGCGAGGAGATTAGGATTGCCCTGGTATCCAACATGATCGTGGTATCATGGTACTACATGACCATATTACCTAGTTGGCTTTGCAACGCAGTAACGCTTTAGATCGTTCAAGCATACTATAGAAACAGCAGCGCAGGTCTCTGGATTGCAGTGAGCGATGTTGAGCTGCAATTCAATGCTAGTCCCGTTGTCGGTACTAAAAAGACCTTCTTGACACGCTGGTATTGCCACCTCCTGGTTTGCATGAGTTGATACCACCCAGCTTGGCCGAGGCTATACTAGGAACGTTTCTTCCAAGATATGGGGAGGTCATGCTTTCATATGAAGCTGATGTTGTTTGGAGTACTAGACGGCAGCCGTCAGGCGACGTAGGCATAAACAATGGACATTGATACGTCTCCACCTGAGACAGGTGAGATAGATTGATAAAATATGAATTGGCAGTTTTCAATGGAAGGCCTGACTAGAATAGATTGCTGTTCTCAGTGTTGACATGTAGTGTTATCGCAGCTGAGGACACCTTACACATGTCCACGCCCTAGTGACGCACATGAGCGCACGGACCCCACTTACTATCTCATCCTGATACTGTCCCTGGGCACAACTGTGAAGGCTGCATACATTCGAAAAAGCTCTCCGTTCACTGTTCAGTTTGTTTGGACTACCACTATAGCCACCGAATAGGCCTCGCCAAAAGTTACCTTGCAACAAGTAATCAGACATGTCGAAGTACGAAACGAGGAAGGAACGGCATTTTTGAATAGGACTAAGTGTACATAGGCCGTGAATCTGTGAATCGGATATACATGGAAAAAGGCGTCGAAAGATGGTGACATCTGAGCCCAACCATCTAGGCCACTAGTAGTTATCTCGGATATAGGGAAGACGATATCTTGAACGCCTCGCCATGACGAGTAAGAAGGACGCTAATCTATATAGTACCTTTTTTTCAAGCTGTTCATCCAGGCAACATTAGCGATAAATCACTTCCTCCCTGACCAGCGGCCATTCTTGACTTGATGGTGGAGAGGATCACCGGCAGACTCAACCGCCTGGTTTCCACGTCTACTTTCTCTTCCCAATTTTCCCCACGCGCCGCAGAGCGCGACAGCAGGTGATAAGATTCAAGAACTTCGAACACGATAAATGTAACACACAGACTTTGTAGACGGTATATGCTGTTCAATCTGTAATTTTCCTCTGAAGAAATCTATTTTGACGTAGATACCTCCGCTAGCGACCACAATGCCATGAGATATATCATCGTCGCCGAAGAATCACATCCCGCCCGAGCTGTTTCCGCACTACATCGGCTGCCTGTCATGGTTTTCCATATACGAGCAGCTCGATGCTCATGCCTTTCTATATTCGCTGACTTCTTTTCACAAAGTTGTCAATCTGGTATCGAGAAAATACAATTTCTTTAACTTTACTCATCACAATCATCGCGACAGCATGACAGAATCGGTCGTTGTCGAACGACTGGAAGGCGCTCCACTACCGTCTTTTCGGCTGAAAGACTATGCCAAAGTTGCAGGTCTTGAACTTGACTTTGATCCGGATGCGCTACTAGAGAAGTACAGAGCGGAACGCGACAAGCGCTACAACAGCCTGGGCCTTGACCAATATCGGCTGGTAAGGTCTGGTCTGAACGACTTCGTTAGTGACCCATGGGCAAACCCCGATTACAGGCGGGATCCCATTAACCATGTCTACGACGTACTTATCATTGGGGGTGGCTTCACGGGTCTTCAGGTCGCCGCTCGCTTGATTACACTTGGGTATCATAACATCTGCATTGTTGAGAAAGTTGACGATATTGGGGGTACTTGGTATGGACTCTCCATTGAATTGTCCCTAAAAATAAGGATTTTCTAACTTGGTAGCTAGGCATTGGAATCGTTATCCAGGTGCTCAGTGCGATATCGAGTCCTACATGTACATGTCTTTGTTGGAAGAGATAGATTATGTACCTAAGAAGCAATATGCTCGAGGACCAGAGTTGTGCAAGAATGCTCACGCCATCGCGGACCACTACAACATCCAGCCGAAAGTTTTATTCCAGACAGAGACACAAAAGTTGATTTGGAACGACGAAACCTGCCTCTGGAAGGTAGAAACAAACTGGAACGACAGCATTCATACCAAATGGGTAGTACCAGCTCTGGGGCCTTTGCAGGTGCCCAAGTTTCCGGGTGTTGACGCTCAAAAGTTTAAGGGGAAAGCGTTCCACAGTTGTCGATGGGACTATAAGTACACCGGAGGTAGCCCTGAGAACCCCCAGTTAACCGGTCTCAAAGACAAACGGGTTGCAGTCATTGGAACCGGTGCATCGGGTGTCCAAGTCATTGCCGAGGTGGGAAAATGGGCTAAGGAGCTAGTATACGTTGTTCAGCGTACCCCCTCTTCCATCGACGAACGACGCAACCAAGAAACGGACGTCGAGTGGGCCAAATCCTTGCCTAAGGTTTGGCAGACAATCCGAATGGAGAACTTTTCATCTATCATCAATGGGGAAGGCGTTAAGAAGGATATGATAAAGGATGGTTGGACAGAGATTCTGACCAGCTTGGCAGGATTCTTCGGCACAAGTGACGGCAATGCTCCTAACGCAGAACAGATTGCTGCACGCATGCAGATCGTCAATTTCATGAAGATGGAGTCAATTCGCAAACGTGTGGACTCCACAGTCAAGGATCCCAAGACTGCTGCTGCCCTCAAGCCATGGTACAGCCAATCCTGCAAACCCCCTTGTTTCCATGACGAGTATCTGCCTAACTTCAACAATCCCAATGTGAAGCTCATTGATACGGATGGAAAAGGCGTCGAAGCCATCACCGAACGAGGGTTTGCAGCCAATAGTGAAGAAATCGAAGTTGACTGCATCATCTACACAACCGGATTCGAGTGGAACACGGACTTCAGCAAGAGGACTCGGACGGAAATTATCGGCGTTAATGGAGTGACTCTTACAGAAAATGGGAAGACAAGGGGATTTCTACGTTGCATGGTTGGGCAGTCAATGGTTTACCCAACATGACGTTGCTCACCATCGCGCAAGCTGGAGGAACTCCCAACTTCACGCACAATATATACATGGCTGCCGAACACCTCACGTACGTTATGAACACAGTCAAAGAGCGTGGAATTGTGGGCCTCGAACCTACTCATGAAGCTGCTAAGGCGTGGGTCCAGGAAGCGGTCGATTGTGGAGCGTCTCGACGCAAGTTCTTGGCAGAATGTACCCCGGGTTTCTACAATGACGAGGACAAGCTGGACGACAAGACATTCCGCAATCAGTCGTATGATGGGGGTGGTATTAAATACAATGCTGTTCTCAAGAGGTGGAGAGAAGATGGTAAAATAGAGGGCATGGTGGCTCGTTATGCTTCTGAGCAGAAGAAGTTGAATGGGAAGTGATTTCTGCAAGCTTTTGGAGAGATTACGTATCATCAGATTGGTTTTACTAGCTGTGAACTAAATACAGTATTCATATTTCACTAAGAACTGTGCCTTTCGGTCTTTAGACCATCGATATCCCAGTATGACTATCAACTAAACTGCTTCTTTTTCGCTTGGAACTACAGTATCAGATGTCAGAACACCTAAAGGTCTCTTCTTCGCCGCGGCTGAGAAACACCTAAACGGAATTCTCATACGTGTGTGGCTCCAGTACCTAGTTGGGCCAGACCACGTACCATCACGCTAGGGAAACTCTCTACTCTATTACTGTGCAAACAGAGAGCCGAGATGCATGCCAGAGCTCCCGAGCAGATATAAATGGGTACAAAATGTCTTTGGACACTGTGGTGTAGCATCACGTGACTAAGCGTATAGTATATATTACGATTATCTTTCGTACGTAGATAGGCACCTTCTCCAATTCATCCTTTGCAACGATTAACTTTCAGCTTGTTTCTATCTACTCGATTGCGGGTCGCCCCTCTGATCTTTTGAGCTCGATCACGTATCGTGCCACAACACAGATGGGGGTTCAGTTAGAAGTGATTTCGAGTGGAGACAAATCTACCGGAGATTGATTGTTTACCCATGGTTGTTCTCTAAAGATTTGCAACGGCTGCCCAATAGTTAAAACTTGGTCCTCCTTCGGGTTCGACCTTACGGCAAAATCGCTAACTGAGGTTTTCCATAATGACAGCTTAGGCTTTACATGCTTTTATAAAACGGCCGTCGACTAGTGCAAAGTGGGGGTTCTTCACAAGAGCAATCATGACTGCACTAAATATTACAGACGCTGATATTGGTAGGTTCTGTCGTTATCTAGTTGATTCTATCTAACATGTCTAGGGGAGAAGCTGAGGGGGAAATCAGCCATCGTGACTGGAGGTTCCTTTGGCATTGGTCTAGGAATCGTTCAATATCTAACCAAATGTGGCGTCAGAGTATTAAACGGAGACATAAAAGACCCGAGTGAGGAGGTTAAAGGAGTAGTGTTCCAGAAAACCGATGCAGCAAGCTGGGAGGATCAACTCGCCTTGTTCAAAAAGGGGGTCGAACTATTCGGTCGTATCGATATAGTTGTTCCTAATGCTGGCTTCAGAAATCGTGGTGACTATTTAGACTATAAAGATTCCATTGGGAATCTTCTCAAGCCAGAATTTGCCTGCTTGAAAGTTGCTTTGATTGGGCAGATGTACACGGTTAAACTGGACATGCATAATATGAGGAATCAGTATCCTCAGGGAAGTGTTATTGTCTCCACTGTCAAAGCATTCCTGTATATGCCGTCTCGAAACATGGCATGATTGGCCTCATGAGAGGACTAAGAAATCACACGCCGACCTGGAACGTTCGGATCAACTTAATCGCTCCTCATGTCACAGACACGGCTTTGCTTCGGTCTGTTCCAAATCTAATCCCAGGCTTGATCCGGTTTGGTATTCTCGTGTCAACAGTTGAAGAGACGGCCAGAGCTACAGCATTCCTAGCCGCCATTGAAGATGACAACGGCTCCACAATCAGTATTATGGGAAGCGAATATCGAGAACTGGAAAGTGGGGTTGAAAGACACAAGCGAGATGTTATGGGAAATGATCTAAGGTTTGATATGACTCCAGAGCAAAAGGAGGTCATGGGTAAGAGTCCTTTCTTCTCTGACCGCTTTTGCTAACAATCCTAGAAAATATCTTCACTCCTGTTTCAAAGTGATAGGAAGTGAACGAAGGAGGCCTTTGCTACTGTCATAGAGGTTTTGAAAGTCTGTATATATGTCGGAGTTGAAAAATTACAACGAAGGCCTGCCTAAGGTAGAGGTGTGAATATGCAACAGAACAGTGCAGAAAACCCATGTAGTACACAACCAGGTGGATTGAATAACCCTTTAAATGCTACCAATTTTCACTCCTATGCGATTGCACATTAAGCCTCTTGTGTCTTTTCCCTATCCGTAAAAGATTTGATCACAAGTTGTTTATTTACTTGGGATCATTGATTGGAAAGGATCCGACCTACATAGTAATGAAAGAATGATAGAAGGAGTAGAAATATTGGACTTTTGACGCCAGGTAATTCCAAAATAACAAAGCTGTGTGCATCTTGCAATGTATGGACCGACTAGTGGTCTCCGCCCTGACATGTGGTCGTGCCGAGGACACCCAGCATTGTCACTTCTCGGTAGTATTGCGCTGGATCGGCTGCCGCTTTATTTGGATGTCTCTTCGGTGACCAACCTTGGACAAACTCGTCCATTAACAAGGCCGAGATTATTACATTTCAAGCAACCAAGGTTGCGTGGTACCGTTCAATAACTCGAGAAATCTTCCTTCTATAGGATTAGGCGGGCTTGCCCGCTATACCCAGGCTGGTGGCCGAGCATCGCAGATACATTTATTAGGTTTTACATTTAGGAGGACCATAAAACATATAACTAAGTCCTCATCCGGTGCCCGATTAAGGAAACTATATTATCACCATTCTCTAAAGCATATGTTCCGACACTCATCAAACGTGCTTGAAAGCTCCAGCCGTTTTCATTTTACCCAAACTACAATATCATCACCTAGAATTCGGTTCTGAAATTCGGCAGTATGGTCGGTACAGTTGTACCTGACGAAGAGACACTTTCATCCTACTCGGTGCCGTCTGAATCAAAAAGATTTTGGTAGACGGCCTACTCAAAAATCCTAAGATTGTCAAATAAATCCCTAAAGAAGCTCACCAATTTGCCTCCCGTATCAATTTCGAAGGGAGTGCCCTGTCGTCGATTGTGATCAATTGGCGCTTTGCGGAGTCTATTGCCTCACTGAAAGCGTTCGAGGCTTGCATCTTGTCAGCCCTGTTGAAGAGGAAGTACAGCGTTGAGCTCAGCGGTGCTAACATCAACACCGATCATGGACAGCTATTCTTTACATTTGCCTTAATATGGACTATCAACTCAGCATCAGAAGCTAGTATATCGCTTAGCAAGAATATCAGCAGTCTAGACCAGTTGATCCCAAATTATGACTTTCACAAATTGAGCTCCAGCTTGTACCGGCTCAGCGCCACAAACATCTACCGGACACGGGATAGGCGATTTTTCCATCTCCACTGCAGTATGAATCCTGATCCGACCCTTAAGAGCCTTGGGTTGCCTTCTGATCGGCCCGAGCTCAAGACCTGAGAGGAAGCGACGCAGCCATTCATTCAAAAGGTGGCGACTATGAATTCGAGCGATCTGCAACATCTCGTCTCCGACGTGTATAAGCAAGCTGGTGTGGTTACGGAAACTGTCGACTCGTTCCGCGCGACTGAACACGGCAAGGCCAATGCACATGTAGGTCTCTTCGAAATTCAGTCTGTGTTGAATCCAAGTCATAGGCCGTCGTGGTGGCCTCCGACTGCCGAAACTTCGCCTAGCAGACCCCTCGCAGGCCTCAAAGTTGTCGGTCTGATCCGTATCATCGCTGCACCCGCAGTCACCAGGGGTCTCGCTGAGTTAGGCGCTAGTGTCATGTGGGTCACTTCTCCCAATCTAATTGACTATAGCTTCCTACACATTGACCTAAATTGGGGTAAGTGGAACTGCAGCCTTGACTTGAAGATGGACGAAGGAAAAGAGAGCTTGAGAGCTCTGATTCACGAAGCGGATGTCGTTATGTAAGGCTGTCGACCAGGTGTATTGGATAAATATGGCTTCGGGGTGGGTGACATTATCGACTTGGTCCGAGATCGTGCTCGCGGTAAAATCTCAGTATGTGAAGATTCCTACGGCTGGCATGGTCCGTGGAGTGATCGATCTGGGTGGCAGCAGATCAGCGACGCGTGTGTAGGCATTCCTGCTGGATTCGGTAAGGCATTGGGCTTGAAAGACAATGAGCCCGTCACGCCCGTCTTTCCAAACAGTGATTACATGACGGTTATCTCTGGGGTATGTGCGGTACTGTGTACCTTAATCCCACGCGCTGAACAAAGCGGTAGCTACAAAGTTGACATCGCCCTAGATTGATACAATCATTGGCTGGCGGATTCTGTAGGCGAGTATCCTGATCGAATTTGGCAGGATGTATGGAAGCGTAACGGGAAGCAGGTTTTCAGGTGAGTCAAAGTACTTTCCGTGTTGGCAAACTGGGATTAACCCTAACCAACAGGTCATACCACAATCTGAACTACACCTTCCCTCGATATTTTGAAATGATGACTAAGAACAGTAAAATTTTCGACCAAAACTATTTCGAGGATCGCCAAAGCAGGGCTATAGATGCGACAGTGCGAACGGTGAAGCCGATTGTCAAATTCAACAATAATGAGATCCAGTTGAGGTATAACGTGGGCATGAGAGGTAATAGAAAGGATGCACCAAGGTGGCCACAGGACATGATGACGGAGGTTGTAGAATAGAAAGTACACTGAGAGATTCAATGAAAACTTGCAAACTCAAAGAGCTTCAGTCTGCCAGAGTGAGGACTAGTATGCAAGATAGAAGTCAGAATTCGAGTTTCAAGGAAGACTCTGGACTGAGTACTATAACCAAAACCCTTCAGAACTGTTTGTCACATACAGATTTTGCAGTGAGATGATTCTCTTCGTTGGACACACCAAGGGTACTACAGCAAACGTCCTCATTCCCTTCTCACGAGTTGATGGAATCTCGAAACGTCGAATGAAGCATTTGGCAGCCTCGACTCAAATTGTTTCAGATTAGACTAGAGATCAGTAGATAGTAATCAACAATGACAGACTACATAGGTAACTGAACCTACTGCCAGTGCGGCACATTTCTTCGTCGGCTTAGATAATAATTGATACGAGGCGAAAGGGAAATTAACTCGTCGTTCAGTCACGTGTAAGTAGTAGATATGCTTAGCATATGACGAGCAACCGAGGTGGTGTCAACGAGGCCCCAGTCCCTCCTGCCGAGCTTACCTTTGTGCCGTAGTAGAATAGGTGTTACACGAACCTTCACCTTCTCCCAGTAACATACCCCGAGAGTGCTTGTAATCTCCACTCTGTCATTATTAACCGAAACGTAGATGCTCAAAAACAAAAGGAAGTCCTGTCATTTTGAGACCAAACTCCGAGCGAAGGATTCATCCACATTACCCAACACTACTTCTTGCTGCCCAATCCAATGCAGCCATGCCTCGTCAGTTGGAATGCGAATATTAATATGACTATCGAGCCCATGATACCAGTCATAGCGGCTGCCCCGAAGCGTCCAGTCCACGACGTAACCTCCAGACGTGTAGCTATCAATACGCTCTTGAGTAGCAGCTGCAACAATTTACCTGACATGGACGACGTTAAAGAAATTGAGTACCAGTTCACGACCAAGGATGGGCAGAATCTCTCCATATACTTTTATCAAAAGAAAACGAGTCAAATATTTGGCGGCCTTACATCAGCAATCCATTATTGTCATGGAGGAGGCATGATTCTTGGAGGTGTTCAAATCTACCGGGGAGCATTGATAAAATACACGTCCAATACAGGTGTGCCCTTTTTTGCTGCAGAGTACCGTGTCGCCCCACAACATCCGCATCCGACCCCAGTTGAAGACTGCTATGCAGGCCTCCTTTGGTTGCAAGAACACCATAAGGATTTCAATATCGTTCTATCCCGTGTTGGAGTCATGGGAGACAGTGCTGGGGGAGGTCTAGCCGCTGGTGTGGCTTTGATGGCTCGAGATCGCGGATTGTCCCCTCCGCTAGCCAAACAAATTTTGATCTACCCTATGTTGGATGACCGCACCACTATTCCGGACAAGACCATTGAGCAACTGGTCTCATGGTCATACGATGATAACATCACTGGATGGACCGCCTTATTAGGCCACAAGATCGATGACGATAATGTTTCACCGTATGCACCGTTTACTGGTATACTTTCTGGAAATACTCCTGAAGGCTACCCCTGGTGGACTCCTGTTGGTATTGGTTACGAATATCCAGAGGAAACTTCGGAGACATCAAAGTTATAATATAGTCTACATACTCATGACGGGCCTTGCTAATCTACGCCGTATATGGGGTGTGGAAACTAATGTATACTAAGCATTAGGCTTAGCAACGGGGTAAACCCCCCCCCCCCCCCCCGCTGAGCTTGGTGATATAAAATGATGAGAGACGTGAAAGAAACTTCTTGAATGAGCAAACAACTATTTGTCCCTTCGTGCAGTGTAGGTAGAGACTGGCTTGCAAAGCATGTCAGCCATTTGCAGTCACGAAGCCAAGCGGCACTTTCATAGTGCTCCAGCTCTATGTCCAAGGCTACTCCACTGGGCTCATGTCCTAGACCATCAGCGATAAATCACTTCCTCCCTGAGTAATGGTCGTGGTTCACTTGATAGCGGCGGGGGCGCCGGTAAGCTCAACCGCTTAGTCTCCACCTTTACTTCCCTCAGATCTGGTTCGCGTTCCAGTTCAGCTGCATCATGGTATGTGCCTACATGCTTGACTAGACTCTCCACAGTTCGACAAATCGCATCTACTTCATGACCTTTGCTACAGATTGTACACGCATACTCGCCATCTGGTGTATGACACTGGACAACGAAGCGCTGTGCGAGACGGAACTCACGGGTGTCGAATACTTCGGATTCGTAGCCGGTGGTCTTGTCCCAGACGGTGATGGGCGTGCGTTTTCCGATCATCCAAAAGTCCTCGCTGGTGACGTCGAGTTGGAGGCCACAGGCGGGACATACGCAGCTGCCTCCTGGGGCGAAGCTAGCGGCCAGGGGCTTATTTTGCATGCGTTGGATATCTAGAGCATAAGGGCAAAAGAGTTGCTCGGGTCCATCTAGAACAGCGGAAGGGGCGCGTTGTGGAGGCGGAAGAGAACGCAAGGGCGATGCAGATCGATGAGAGCCGTTGCTGACCTGTGAACCTCCCAATCGCTGTTGAGCTTGCCGGAGGGCTTCGAGGGAATTTTCGCGAGCTTCGTTGGAGGCGTTAATTAATTTCGCCATGTCAGCGCGGGTGAGTTGACGATCGCTATAAAGAGCGTCTTGGAGTACACTAATCACTGTCTGCTGGAGCGCTATGATTTGCGCTTGTAGCTGGTTCTCAATGATTGCTGCATTGAGGTCAGCACGGGGCCTATTGTCTTTGAGTGAGACACTTACGATCGCCTTGCGCGAACCGGCTGCCAATACGACCGTAGCCTTGATCGTACATTCTCTGCACCATCATCATGTCTCTCTCAAAGTTGCTTCCTACATCATCTCGTCCTCGGCCGTTGCGGAGCCGATCAATCTCCTCCTGTCTTTTTTCTGCCTTTTGCTGGGCTTCCTCAAACTGCATCTTCAACTCCTTGATCTCGCCATCCTGTTTAATATCGCGCTGTTTCTGTCTGTGCTGAGCACGTCTGTCCGCAATGCGCTCCCATAGACCTAGAGACGCCGTAAAGGTGCCGACGAGAGTGGAGGCTAATGTAGCTACAATGAAGGTTTTCTGAGCGTGTCAAAGTCAGCTTTGACCGCGTGACTGCATGTCGCCAGTATGTACCTTGAGTTTCTTCTCCTCTATCCACGACGCGTAGTTCATTTTCGCTGCAGTTATCCTGGGGCCGTTCTCTTACTCGCACGTCACTCCCCAAATACAAATTGCAGAAGAAGCGAAAGCGAATTGCGGAATTGAAGAAGTATATCAGCAGCGCACCCACTCGAGCCCCGCAATGCTCCAGCTCTTTGTTTTTCTTCTAGCGCGTGTAGTCACAGTTTTGAAGTAGCAAATGACACGACGGGATGAAGGTGAAGAGGGCGGGATTAAAGCGATTGTTCTTGTCGCGCACAATGACGCACACTGTGGTACCGCTTAACTTGCGACGCAGCGAGTCGCATCTGAGCCCTAAGATTAGCCGTGCATTAGCATCGAGAGCAGCTGATTGCACGATACGCCGCGTAAGCATCAAGACAAGCATAGCCGCAGCTGGCTGACCGCCCCTCTCGGGATATGAATGTGCTGTGTGAGCCGGGCCAGCAAAGGGGGAGTAGAATGCACAATGACGTCATGCAGCCAACCCCGCTAGCTTCTCCCCAGACCATGGGCATCTCAGCCTCCGACTTGTCTATCTAGCCACCAAGAATGCCATGCTTGGGCACCCTCACGCTGGCCTAGCGGGAATGCCGCACGATAATCTTCGCAAATAATTTGGCGGCTGCTACACACGTGTCCCTCCCCCGCATTCACGCTATACTTGCCTAGCACCCATGCCTTCCACACAATACAAGGCCGAGCTGATCCAACCCTTTAGGCTGCGACTAATTTCTGGAGTGATGAGAAATACAAATACATGGCCATGGAAGACCTTGTACACAACGCTCATTTTCTGTGCCCAACGAGACTGGGTAAGCTGACTACAATCTTCCATGAGAGCTGGGGTTGCTAGTTTCGTTGGGCAACAATGCTGTGGAGCCGATCATCTGTATCATCATGTCATATCGTTGCACAATAAGGAACCCAGACCTTTGGGCCCAAGACCCTTGACAATGTACCGAGAATGGCGTTCAAGCCAATCAGTAGCCAGACGACTATCCTTGAGAACAGTACACCCGCCTGGTAGGGAAAGCATCCACTTCATCTAAGCGCTTTAGCCGATAGCGGCTCGTTCCGACATCTTGGCAATTTGACTGTCATAATATTCACTGTTGTAACAGAAAAAAACGGATGTAAATTCGTTCGACTACTTCTGGGATATGAAGGCAGATGATGGAGTTGGAGGCTGCATGGTCACGTGATGTCTCCAGTTATTGGGTGCAAGGAAATACTATGATAGACTATGATCACTCTCCCGCCACTGACTGAAGTACTTTTAACTGAATACAAAACTGATCTCTCGCTATATTCTAAATTCCAAGGAACAGTGTATCCCACCACTCTTATAGTCACTTCCTTACAATCCCTTACTAGTGCCTTGGCATAAGGCACAAAGATCGCAGTTGCCCTCACAACAGTATCCCATCAACTCTTCATGCGTCAAACAACCGTTCCCACCCCCCTACTTACCATTCATATCATTATTAACCATCAACATTACATAATGTTCATCGAACCTTTCGGAATAGAATAACCACAAACCGGTTGTTCGCAACGCTGCATGATTTGACTGGCCTGCTTGAGCGAGCCATCACCCTCTCTTCATTTCCCATTACGTATACAGGATATCTTGAGCTATTTCATCGTACACTATTCTCAAGACTTGGTTGCTTGGTTCTTCTGACTGACAGCTTCACGACCGCGACCATCCTTGGTGAACCTGCACTACGCTCGTCACACGAATGTTGTCTGGAGGACACAACATGGAAACGTCGCTATTGTCTTCAATTTGCCACCCCCCTTTCGCAGCTGCCGTGTTTCCGAATGGTGACATTACAATACTATTGGACGGTCCATATCGTGGCGTCCTTGCTATGTTTGTACCAATGGTTTCGAAGAACTTTTTGAAGATCGGTTTAAGTGCTGGTAGTGAAGCCGCAATGACACCAAGATGCAATTCAGTAAAGTTCCAAATCGAATACGCGTCATACTCGTCAATTGGACCGACACTAACTTGTCTGATTATGCCAGCAATTGCCGCAAGGATGCCAACGGAAAGGACCGCTATCAAGGTGAAGCGGGCGCGTCTGACCATCTGCAGTCTCCAAATAAGAGGAGTCGGCAGAAGAGCAAGCAATATATCCGAGAGAATATGAATCACTGCGCCGTCAGTAATGATGTCAGAAAAAAATTCGCATAGTGTGTCTATACCTCCGTTGAAAAGTCCGATCTTACGAAACGTGCTGAGGCTGTAGCACTTTGCGTTGCCAACTCCCAATGGCGGTGGACGCATAGAATGGTTCCATCCTGCTGAAATTGGAATACATTGGAGAATCTGAAATACCAGCCATGTTTAGAAAAAGGTAGACTCATGGTGGTGTGCCATGAGATCGCACAATCTACAGAAGGTTTTACTCACGATTGATAGCACACTACCGATCGTGAAGACGACCATGAATATGATGATACCCCAGAGGGCCCGGATGTATAGCTTCTTCATAACCAGACGAAGAAGGAACAGACAAATCGATACTTTTACCAGGCCCAATGCCAATACCACAAACACCTGGTGCAAAAGGCGAGCCAGAAGCAAATTGTGGTAGTTTGGCATATTGGCTTCTAGTAAATCAACCTGACTTCCTAGCCCAAGCGAGATCTCGGTCATGTAGGACACAAAACACGCGGTTGCAGGTATCTGTGATCAATCCATCAATACACCGATTTGAGACAGGTTCCAATCTGCGATACGTACCAATGCACTGATCATCACCCAGTCATCTCTACCAAAAGATTTAACAATTTTCAAGCGCACCCAGCAGCGCAACAAAGCGACCAACATTGCCAACACATACTGCGGTATCGAACAAGCAAGCAAACGTCTGGAAGACATTCTACTGTGAGGCGATGATGGACGGATGAGATTTTCAGAGGCAGTAAGTCATGCTGCCAGCACTATTTATTCGTGTTATTTCGTCACCTCAAAATCATGTACGGCACAGTTTACAAACGTCACGTATGTTTGGCTAGGAAGGCAAAGGACTGGTCTTTTTTGACACGCTTGTATTCCGTAGCATCGGAACCGAAGTGAGTAGGCAGTTTCGAAGCGGCATGCTTAAAGTCTACGCCGCATTACGCGGTGTTGGGATAGGAGAGATTCTCCGAGTATTTCTGCTCCTCTGGCTCCTACTCTAATCTTCGCGGGACTCTCATAGGTAGTTCGACTGTGCCACATACCGGGAGCTGTTGTTACTATCGATTTTGCCACTTTGCCGTGGTCATATTCAGGGGCTCACCGCTGCAATTCGCTTTGTCGATGGCTCCAGTTGGACAAAATCTCATGCGTACGATTCATGGACCGGACTTATCTCTCATGCCACGGGATCTTTTGTGTTTGAGCCGTCGGTGTTCAAATGCGCGAGGCGCAATTTGACTAGACGCTGCAAGCGTTAAGCAAGGGATCTGGCAGAATGGCATGGTCTGAACTTGATAGAGTTAGCATGCTCGGTTACCCTTATTATGCCGTCCCTTCCGTGCCGCCCCTCACCCGTTGACGGCCCCCCCCCCGGTAAGTGTATAATCGCACTAGACAACTACTTACATCCTTCTCGAACCGTCCACATGGGTCTCGGCAATCGTGTGGTTCGACCATTGATTAATCACTCAACACTCATATGTATCCTCGTGGCACAGTCGCAGGATGAGGCAACTTCCTCCGGCCAGCCCCTCCTATCACAACGAGGTTTCAGATTGCGAGAAATGTCTTCGTCTGGCGAACTTGGAAAAGTTCAATGGTCTCGTATATTATATTCTTCGTACTACACGCAAAAAGCTACGTAAAGTTTCTTCTATCGCAGATTGGAAGAATGCTACTCAAAGAACTTTTAGGCCTTACTCGCCCCACTCGGTAAACAATATCGCCCCTGGTCTGCCACCGTGTAGGCGGATCCGTACTCACAGAGCTAGCCTGATGCCACCGACTCTGGTTCGCCAAAATGAGCTGCATCCTGCCTATCTGCCCTCCAGCAACAAAGCTAGCCATGATCGGGTAATTCAGGCTGCTTGCCACAAGTTCTTTTTGCACTATATAAAGCTCAATGGTAAGTACGTCGAACATCACGCTCTTCACCATAGCTCATTGTAGCACGCTGCTCAAGATTCACAGTAGCGAATACGTCTGTCCATCGAGACGAACTCTGCAATGAAGATTTCCACCTATCTTAACGTTGCCTTGGCCGGCAGCGCTAGCGCCAAGTTCATGGAGAACGATCAGCTTGCTGCAGAAGGCATGATCAAGCTGGGGATTCATTTAGCTAAGAATGGCATTCCGAGCCCTGGGACTTGTACATTGGATAAAGTGTCGGTTCGCAGGGAGTGGTGAGTTGGTACCATGGCTTGAGACGTAATGTCACTGACATAGGTAATACAGGGCAACACTATCCCCCAAAGAGCGAATTGCTTTCACCGACGCTGTCAACTGCCTCCACAAGCTCCCCGCAAAGACACCAGCTTCTGTCGCTCCAGGTGCAAAGAGCCGCTATGACGATCTAGTCGTCACCCATATTCAGCAGTCGCTTACCATCCACGGCACTGGTAACTTCCTAACATGGCACCGCTACTTCACCTGGGTCTTTGAACAAATGATCCGAGAAGAGTGTGACTACAAAGGCACTTTCCCATACTACAACTGGGCACACTACGCCTCCGACCCAAAAAGCGGTCCCTTCTTCGACGGCAGCGCCTCGAGCATGTCTGGCGACGGCTCTTACGTCCCCGGGCGAAACTATTCTTGTTTTCCATGGGACGGCATAGCCGGGCCCTGCTACATGCACCTCGCACCAGGTTCAGGCGGTGGATGTGTGACATCGGGTCCATTCAAAGAGTAAGTGCTACTATGCCTTTTACCTTTCCCATTTCGGTAGACACGCCCCGATCTAATACGAATTACGCGTAGTTTCAAAATCAACATGGGGCCTCTACAAACGATGCTCCAGCTTCCAGGGGGCGGTCTACCAAAGAACCCGCAAGCCAACGGGCTAGGCTACAACCCGCGGTGTCTCCGCCGCGATATGTCACAACAAGCTGCGAATGCGACGACCGACGCTGAAGTCGTCAGGCTCCTCAAGAATTACACGGACATTGCCAAGTTTCAGAGAGAGTACCAGGGCGCGTTTGCGGAGGGCCGCATGGGCGTGCATACTGGTGGTCGTAAGTTTTACTCGAAAAATCTCTCCCATTTTTCTTAGAGATTCATTTGCTGATGGAAAAGTAGATTACACGATTGGCGGAGATGCAGGCTCGGATTTCTACAATAGTCCTGCTGATCCAGCGTTTTATCCTCACCACGGTATGATTGATCGTGTGTGGTGGACGTGGCAGAATCTCGATCTTAAGAATCGCGAGAGGGCTCTCGCTGGAAGTGCGGGTGGTATTGGGGATACAACGGCGAAGAATGCTACACTGGGGGATACGTTGACCATGGGAGAATATGTGGGGTACCCGAATATTACGATTGGGGACGCGATGAGTACAGTTGGGGGGCCGTTTTGTTATATTTATGCTTGAAGCTGGGGTGTAAGTGGTTTAGTAACGTAATTGAGCGATGTGATAGAAGCCCGGGTAGTCGATTTCATTCGACACGTGAGCATAACGAATACGTAATACACCACCCATCGAGCCTCGCGTTCAAATGCACCAAATGAAGCAAAGAAGACCTGATTGCACCCTATATCTTTCGAACGTCTCGAACGTCTCATGCCATTTACGCTTCACACCACTTTACCCAATACCTTTCTCTCTCCTCTCACACTTTTCCTCTCAAGACACCTCCATCCAAGAACCAAAACACAATAAATCCCCCTTATAGAATCTATAAAAGCAACCCCATGGTTTACACCACAAGACCCTACACACCCAGCAAAAGAAAGAAAAAAAAGAATATTGGAGAAACACAGGAAACATCGGTCAAACTAAATCGTGCCCTCATTCCAAACCCGGTCACCATACTAAAGGGTACCCTTATATCCCAACTATCTATAGCAAACAAGTCCCTCTCACACTACATATATCTGCTTTCACGAAACCAAGCAAAAAAAAACGATACACATGCTCCCATCTTGACTCCAAAAGAGTTACAGAACTAACCTCGTAATTACTCATTCTTTTTCTTTTTCTTTTTGCGGGATATGCAAGAAAGGGGGCGCTTGGAGGGCTTTCTGACCCTCATTTCTCTCGTCTCGAGCCATAGTGATGATGGGTAAGAGTGCGGGGGAAGAAGACCAAGGGGGCTAAAGAAAGAAAGGTAAATAGGGTATCATTTTTCCGGGCTCGGGAAGAAGTACGGATGTCGTCGCTTTTTTTGTCCGGCTCGTCGAAGATGAAGAAGAAAAGAAGAAGGGGAAGGGGTGGATGGTAACAGAGGAATTTGTTTGGTAAGGGCGGTAAAAGATGGAGAGTCGAATCAAACGATGGGTGCTAGTCATCATGTATGCGACATGTGGCTCTGCCTCTCTCCGCGGAAGTTACTTTGATTATATAAACATGTACGACATAATCATGCATATCAAGGGCGAAGCAAGAGTAGTAAGTTTTTGAGGAGGACAAGAGCAAGGACAACTTGTATTCTCGTCGATGACAAAACCAGCAGGATTGTTCCTGTACCTATCGGCTGTTGTTTGCTTGACAGGTACCACAAACCCATCCAGGTCCATCATCGACGTGTCAACTCGGCTATGGAAGGAAAAAGGGGAAACAAGAAAAAAACAACGACAGGAAGTAGGAAAAAACAAAACATTCAAAAACGCTACGTAGCTCATCCGTTTTTCCATTGGGCCATCCCATCATCAACCGTCATGAAAGCGTCATAGCTTCCTCCCCGTCCATTCCTTCAGTTGCCAACGCATAGGTTCAGCCTTTTTACTTTTTTTCTTCAAAACTTCTTCTTTCATCTTTTTCCAAGCAGCCAAAGGGAAAAGAAAGAATAACCTTTTCCGAACCATGTGCCACGTAGATCCAGCCACACAACAAACAGATATGACAAGGGAAAGGGTATTACCATCCACCAGCAAAACAACAAAGAAAAACAAAAGAAGAAGTAAAAAGTAAAAAGCTCGAATAACCTCCGCGGGGAGAGCAGGTATAGTGCGAAGCTGGAAGAGGGAAAAAAATTATCAAGGGTGTTTTTTGCGCGCGTGCTGTTAAACACTCCAGAACAACAAACAGAGAGATAATATAGGAAGAAAGGGAAGGAAGAAATCAAAAACAAAAGTTGCGAACGCTACCAAAACAGCAAAGAAGGAAAAAGCACGAGGAAACAAGCACACGGCTGAATACGAGGTCGCATTCCTGTAATGGTGCGACACATTTTCTCGCGGGCCATGTTCGTGGTGTTTGTTGCGTGAGCGTTCCAATCTAACAACCAATATTACTGTGTGGTGGACAAATACTGAGTCGTTGTGAGGGCGGAACACAAGCCAAAACACTCCAAACATGAAACGCGCGAGTTGGGGAATCAAAACCAGTTTTGACAAACGCGATCCAAGCCCAACCGATCAAAACTTTTTGTTCGTGAACAAGTTTGGCCTTATAGAAAAGCCAACCAAGTCCATGCAAAAGCTTTTGTTTCAACCTATTTCCGACCCGCTAAAAAAAGGATAACGAAACAGAAACTTTTGGTATGATGAAGGAGAAAAAGGGGGGGCACGTAGCCAGTAGTCGTGTATACAGTGCTGAAGAATAGCCAAAAGTGGTCGTGTGCATCGTAGCAGCAAGCCAGACTGCTCAAGGTTCGGAGAAGCCTATTCGCCGTAGTAGGAGCTAGTGTGGGCGCGTTGACGCAAAGGTCGTTGGCCACTGCTCCGTTCTATGCGTTGCTCTCGTATTACTTGGCTGTCACGCCTCCTGCGGGAGCTACGTAGACTGTTTTCGGTCATTTCCTCAGCCTGTCTCCGCGGCTGTTTTGGCACCAATGCCTTTCGGTCGTCTGCAATGCTACCTCTGTCGCTGTTATGGTAAACACTTTCACGGTCGCGCCCTCCGCTGATGACCAGATCAGCCATGCCGTTCTCGGCCGGAATCATGCGGAGAGTGCGACCCTCCATGTCGCCATTGAACTGCAAGCTGAGTGGAGCGTTTGCATCGACTCGCAGGCGAATCTCGTTGTTTTCGTTGGTGACGGCCGTGCGGTTGCTTCGGCTTCTCTCACTTCCCGAAGAGCCAGAGTGAGACGGCATGGAAATGGTTCTCGAGTGCCGTGCAGCATTGTGAATAGGATCGTTCAGGGGCCCAGGAGCACCGCGGCGAGCACTAATGTACTCTTCGGCGGCGCTCTCGATGCGCTTGGTCTTGTGCTCGAGGACACGTTCCTTGCCTTTGCCCGCGTCAGTTGGACGGCGGCGGCGGGCCTGAGGAGGAGGTGGTGCCGGTGCCTCGGGCAGATATTGGTCGTCTTCAGATTCTTCTGATTCAGACTCTTCGTCGCTGTCAAACGCTGCTGGGGGTTGGTAGTATTGCTTGGAGGTTCGGTTGAGACGTTTCTGCTGAGCAAGCTCGGCTTCGTATTGTTCTTGCTCTCTTCGGGCTTCTTCTTCCTCGCGGGCGCGGGCTTTAGCTTCCCTGGCGGCTTTGGCTGCCCGTTTGTCCTCGAGGTGATGGTCGTATACCTGCTCATAGACCTGAGCCGAACGACGGCGTTCAGATTTGCTCGAGTTGGCGACGACAATCTGACCACGGTGGCTGGGGTATTCGGACTGTATCTGGCGGGAGGGAGGAGCCGGTCGACTGACGGAGGCACGGCGGGAAGGCTCTTCAATAGTCCTTGAAGAGCGCTTCCTGCGACGCTCATCAATGACCAGGGACTGGGGCTGAGCAGGAGGCTGAGACACAGACATGCGGCGACTAGAACGTTCGTCAACCACTTGGGTCGTGTTGGCGTGACGCATGGGGGGTCGCTGTTGTTTTTTGCTTTTGGACTTCGGCTTTGCTTGCTCAATCTTTGGTGGTGCGGGTGCCATGAGGGCACGTCGGTTGCGAGGGTCATTGGGGTCGGGCTGCTCATAGTACTCGTCGTCGTCTTCCTCGGATGAGCCGGTCTCGGATCCGCTCTCGCTTTCATAGGCGCCTTCTTGGAGCTGCAATTGCGGTGGAAACCTGGCTTGGGTGGCGCTCTGGGGCTGACCGTACCTTGCCGAGTACTGTTGTTCACGCGACGGGGCCTGGGTGATGAGAGGGGCAGCTCCGTTACGTGCAGAGTTAAATGAGGTACGAGGCGGCATGTTTGGCCTTTGCGGACCATCGTATGGTGGAGGCGTGTGGTTGTAGGGATAAGCCCCTGGGTAGCCCTGGGGCGCACCATAGGGAACTACTGGAGGGGCCATGCCACCCATGTGGTGGTACTGGGGCATTTGACGCCATTGCGCAGAGTTGGAGGGAGGCGGGCCATGCTCCTGGGGCGGGCTCGGGTAGGGTGCGGGCATGCCCGGAGTGTAGTATTGAGAGTTGGGCTCGCCGTTGTAAGACATTGGGCGCGGTCGTGAAGTCGAAGGGCGGCGACGGGGGTTTACGGCAGGCTGGACAATGGCAGCCTCTTGCCTATAAGTAGGGGGCCGGCGGACCTGGGTAGGCGAAGGTGGTGACTGGTAGTAGGCCGGATCGGAACGCATGGAGCGAGTGTCAGCCGAGAGACGGTCGATGTCGCGGGCGGACTGGGTGGGCTTGATGCTGGGCCTGATGTGTTGAGGAATGGCGTTTGGTCCGCAGGTGGTGCACTTGGGATCGGTGCATTCAGGTTCGACTCTGCTGTCGCGACGGCGTTCACGCTCGGAGCGTTCGGGGCGCGGGTCCTGGGTGATTGTGGGCCGGCGTTGCTTGACGAGGGGCTTGGACGACTGCGATGTGGTGCGCGAGGTCAACTTGGGTCTCGACTGTTCCGAGTGGGACTGGGTAGGGCGTCTAGTCTTTGTCGAGGGGGGCGGGGGTGGTTGTTGCTGAGGTTGGGGTGGTGGTGGTTGAGGAGCCTCTGGACGGGCGGTAGGGGGAGCGGCAGCAGGAGGGCTGCGCTGGGACGGGGCACTTTGAGCAGAATTAGTGCTGCTCACGGTGGCGGCGGTGTAGCTGCTGTACCCTGAGTCGGAGCGAAGGTCGAGGTTGGTAGGCACGCGCTCCTGAGGGGGCGGCTTTTCTTTATTCAAGTCTTCGGGGTGAGAGCGCTTGGTGGAGACGTTTGCAGCATTGGCCGGGGAGCGGCCTGGGAACTCGTAGCCTTGTTCGCTCTGGTCGGAATCGTAGTCCTCGCAGGTGGGCTGCAGATCCTGTGCGCTCGCCATGTCGGCAGCAGCAGCAGCGGCGGCGGCGGCGGCAGGGGGAGCAGATTGCAAAAAAATGGTGGTGAGAATTGGGAGCAGGGCGGACAGGCTGTCGAGGGCAGGGAGCAGTCGGCAAAAATATCTAGCGGCGGGGCGGTGGTGGGCAATCAAACGAGACGTGGAGAGCGCATTGTTAGCAGGGGTGTGTGATTGAGCGAGGCCGTGTCAGGGCCAGCGGGCGACATGTGGAGGAGGGGTGAGTGGATGGGTGGATGTGAGTGAGAGAGAGAGAGGAGATGGATGCCGGCAGCGATGCAGAGGTTAGGTAGGAGTAGCAAGCAAGGCGACGGGAGGAAAAAAAAGGGAAAACAAAGACGGGGCAGGGAGGGAGCAGAGGACGGGGGGCTGAGGATATGCGAGACAAGCAAGCTGCAGACAGAGTATGACGGGCTCGGTGCTGGTGTGCAGGGCGACGGGCGCAGACGGGCGCAGACGAGCAGACAGTGGCAGATTGGCAGCGAGTGATTGAGGGAGCAGGGAGGGAGAGTGACAGGCAGGCATGCAGGCGCACATCGCATTCGGGCTTCGACACAGCAACCAGGCAAGGAAACCTTTCCCCGCCCGCCCGCCGTAAAATTTCAAAACGGCGCGTACTATATTCTGCCCTATGCCATGCGTTGCATCGGTTGGGCTCTCCCACATCTTGGGTCCATGGCGGCGGACGTGGTGGCGAAGCTGCTGCACACCAGTCGTCCTGATTGATGCGTTGCATGCATGGCCGACTCAGAAGTTGTCTGGGCAGTCTCGCCGCCGTATACTATGCATTGTCGTGTGGTGGTGGTGGTTATCCACTCGATGCCATCCACGCCCGCTTGATGCGCGGCCCTGCAATGCATCTCTGCACATCGTAGAGTTTTTTTCGCCTCGCCTCGCCTCGCCTCGACAACAACAACAACGACACTCTAGACGGGGCTGTCATGGCCGGCCGTGCTCCCTGGTGGTGATCACTGGCACGGTCGTCGTCGTCGGCCGCCTCAGATGCGCAACATGCAGCAGCTCGAGTGGGCGTCGACGGCCAAGCTGAAACCGGCATTGCCCGGCCCTGGTTGGCTTTGGCTGGCTTTGGCTGGCTTTGACTGGCTTTGGCTGCGAGCCGTTCACTGCTGAGACAGGCTGGTTGGTGCATGCGCCCATCTTTCACCGCTTTGCACCCCTCGCCATGCTCAACCACCCACCCACGCCCTCGTCCAACCACGCCCCAAGCCCTCAAACACGCTGCCACTCGTCCAACTGCTCGCCGCCTGCTGATCTCTTCTCGTCCCGTCTACCGCTTGGCCACCCTTTCCTAGTTGGTCCTCATCATCCATCTGCATCTGCCGTCCACCTTCTATCGTCTATCGTCTATCGTCGAGTCTGCTGCGGTGAACGGTTGCAGGGCACACACGCCTAGCTGCATGCCACTCTCTTTTTTTTCACCTTTTTTTTCTTTCCTTTTCGTCATCCTTGCACCCGCCATTTCACGTCATTGAGCCTCTTTGTTGATTGCCGGCTAGCCTCTTTTCTCCTGGCTCGGCCACGTCAATCGTCTCTGCCATGCAGGAACAACAAAGCACTCATGCTGCGCCGTGGCCTTCATTAATCCCCTCAACGACCCGACACGAAACATGTGTCCTCTGCTCTGGCCGTCTCGACCTCTCCGTGTCCGGTGTCGAGTCTGTCTGGCTGCCAACCCGGATGCTCCTTGCCTCGTGTCCGTCGACAAGACTGCCCGCTCCCATCTAGAATCACGCGGCTGCTCAAGCGTCGCTTACTCCGCTTAGCCGACTCATTACACTACCCCACTACGCTTCCGGTGAACAGACGCACCACCCACATCGACTCCCTCTACTCTACTCTACTCCTACCCTGCCTACTCCTACCCTACTCTACCCCCAAAAAAATAACTTTGTTCCAACCAAAGTCTCTGCTACGCCTTCCAGAATACACACCCTCCCGTCGCCGTTGACGCACACGTGTGACATTTGCCAGTCTGAAGTAGCGCACTCGCTCGCTCGCTCGCCCCCTCACCAAATGCACCTACTCCCACACCACCGCATACTTACTTACCAGGTCGGGTGCAAGTGCCATGTCCACCCGTTTGCTCAATCTACACTACTAGCTGCATTTAGTGTACCATGACCCTGCTACCCAACAGATTTTAACCAACCGTCGCACACAGCCCACTTTCCTCGTAATGGCTTCGGTCGTGTCAGAGTGCACGACTTGGACGCTGGCAGTCCACCTCACCATTCAAGTCTGATGATGCGACTCTTTGTGCCACGAGCAAAACAATGCCATTGACGTATGCTCTATAGATTAACAGAAATCATGATGTGTATACACATTGCATCCTTCTGTCCTGTTGCTAGTGTCAGTGTCAATGTCAGTGTCAGATGCACGTCGGCCGCCGTCCTGCCACTCTGCTGTACGACCTTGACAAACGTCATGTGCCTCTGCATGACGAACAGACGGCTTCTCAAACCGCGTTCGCAGTCGTCTGCACACCCGACTCGCTCCAATCCCAGCAACCCGGATGCCAGGTTCTCTCAAACAGCCACTACGGCGCGAAACGGTTCATGTTGCTGCGCGACACTTTTGTCGCAATCCATTTTCGTTGCAACCAGTTCGAGTGTGTGTTTGCCAGGTTCCCAGCCGTTGGACTAGCGCGGGATGGGTGGAGGAACACGTGGGACGCTCGCTAGTAGTCGAGTAGTCACTCCCGCTACACCACCCATCCCTCCACGGCCTCGTAGCCCAAAGAAAAAAAAACAATCGCTCCCGAAAAAAAATTTCAACCGCGTTCGTTTCACCGCACTATGCAGGTTCAGCACATCTGGCTGCCATTCCTCTCTAGACCTGTGCGGCCCGCTAAGCTGTGACTCACATTTCTATCCACCAGCTGCCCTCTGTTGTCTCAGTATCGGCATCCTTCGCTGCCCAAAACCATCCCCATTGGGCCGCGGCTCCACGAACTTGCGGCTCATGGCTGCCCTACCGACCCACAAAGTCGCCTTGTCCGCTCTACATTTGCGGCTCGGGATGCCCAAGCAAGCCCCACCTGGGCGCCTATTGAGCCCGACATCTCTACACCTACCGCTTTTTGTTTTTTGCCTACCTCACCTACACCTACCACGCGACACGGCGGCAGAAGAAAAATGACCGATTCTCTCGGCCCTACTCCTCCACCACCACCACCATGCTTATCTGCAAGTGACAATACAATGCTCCGTGTCTCGGCCCATGTCGCAACAGCATCTTGGGGCTCCCTAGTCCGTGGTCAAGTGTGGACAAAGGTCGCATGACCTGCACGCTGTCATTGACTCACTGTTGCTCAACCCACCCAGTGCCACTTGGCTACATAATCTTGAACCCGAATCGGGCTCTGTACATGGTAGTATCACTATTACCACTACACGGGGACTACACTAGTGGCGTTGTTTGCCAGAGCCGCCACGCGGCAGCCGCAACCTTGCCTTGGAGTCATGGTATACACATACTTACATGTACACCTATCACCCACTTGGCCACACAGCCCTGTCACCCACCCGAGATACGCTACTGTCTCGCTCGCTAAGCCTTTTCTTTTCAAGCCCTGGAGCGGGAAGACTCGCACTAACACAAAGGGCATGCACGTGTTGAGAAGGGTTGTGAGTGATTCTTTGCGTCTTCTTAAATGGGCAAGCTGCACATCTTGGCAGTCTAATATATCACTTCTCAATCGCGTCGTTTCCTCTTTCCTTTCTTTCCTTTCTCGTCCTTACTAAGCATACAGACATGACTAATCAGCCTCAATGTGGTCTCCATCCTATTCAGATTGTTACCAAGGGCAAGCTTAGCTGTCACCATCATCATCATTCACATATCTGCCAACAATACAGTAACGGATTAATGCCACAAAAAACAAGAGCATTTCTTTCTTTGCCAAGAAACAAAAGAGTACGGAGAAGGCCAAGGCTATACCAGGAGGAAGCAATCCACCACGAATATACCTAAGACGATAGAGTCACAACACCAAGATGATAGAAGCGAATAAATACGACTGCTAGTGCAACACGACGTGTCACTTCTCGCCAAAAAGTGTATGAAAAACATATATATTGACGGGTGGTCTACAGAAGCTAAGGAACTACACGTACAAGCAACGCACACAAGACAACACCGAGGGACAAGCATCGATCCATGCTAGCTGATCTATTCCTTACTCGAAAATCCACAAGATCTGACTGTGGATGCTGCAGTCTTCACCGGATATTGTGTACTTATAACAATCTCGTGTTAGGTTGTACCATCCATTGCTAAAAACCAGACACAGGACATGCCTTGAAACCCCCAGCATCTATCCAAAGGACACTCAAACAAGCTTCCTACAATCCACCCTTCAAATCTCCCAATCACAACCCATCAAGAAAAAGCGAGCGCAGAATATTGATGTTCTAGGCATCTTCGCTGGAGATAAGGGTGGGTACAGATACACTTGGTTTATCAATAACTTTACATCGAGGAAGAGATTTGCCCTCTTTAATACAAAGGATTCTTCTGGGCAATAGCAGAATAGCAGGGCCGCTGTGTAACATCAAAATTGCTGCACCATTCCTGCACAATAATGCATACAGCTACGTCAGTGGGTAGAAGATGCAAGCCACTCCAATCTCAACCCATCCATTACCGTTCTGCGCACATTGGAGCGAAGGATCTCAAATCGACTTGGTCGACTATAATCCTCTAATTTTGGCAGAGGCCAGCGAGATGTATCCCAAACTGGTAAAGATTCTGCAGAACTGTGGCTGGCGTGAAGGGTGGAGGCGGTTCTGCAAAGTACTATGCATGACATCTTCACCGCTAACTCGCATCGCCTTGACCCCTCTTCATCTATATCTTCAGCCCTTTGATTCGATGTACAGTGATACTATGGAGCATTTATCTGCTTTTTTTAATGCAATTTCAGGATGATCCACGTAAGTGCACTTGAATTCTGCTTGGTCTTTACATTTGATGCAGATATGACTTTTACTCAACGATAACAGCGTCCATTAAAAGTCTATATAAAGGGATGTCTAATGCCTCAATGTATACAACAAAGGCAACTCAAACGCTACCTCTTCTCCTTACTTTTGAACACACCTTCGCCATGGAAGGGAAGCAAAACATTGACCTTGGTGAGCTCCATGTCGTCTATAACCCTGATGATGCTAATCTCTTACTAGCATCCTTCAACCTCAAGCATCACAATGACCTCCTCTGGTCAATCAACTACAAATACGATTACATGCCAAAATACAAACCGTCCTTGCCGTTTCTGATTGGCTTATCATCATTTCCTGATCTCGAGGCCGAAAGGATCAGTGTTGAGTCTATCATCAACATCCTTCCTACTCCGACTGAATATCCGATCAAAACTAGTGAGGCTCTTAGCATCAACAGCTTACCAATATCTCCCACTGATGCGAAACCTCCATGGCATTCTTCGATCCACCACGTAAGACAGAACATACATTGGCAAACGGTTGTCGAAGCATCAAAAGTGCTGCTATACAACATTTCTTCCGACCAAAACGCAACAAGTATACCGAATTATTTGAGAAAGCATTATGCTGATATAGCTGCTAAGGAGCTGCCAAGCTTACAAGACGGCTGGATTCGATTCAGTGCCTACATGTGACCGGCAGCTAGCAAAAATCGACTCAAACTTCTTACCGAGATGAACGCCTACTCCTTTATCTTTGATTGTAAGCGTAATCATGCGATGAATATCTTACTCTTCTAACTACTTCCACTGCAGGTGTATGGGAGATGAACGATAAAGTTGCGGTAAGTAATTAAACAACTTTGGTGAGAAGTCTCATATACTTATGTTGCGGAACGGTAGATGCAAGCATTCGAGACCGAATTCGTATCGCGCCTCAAAGCTTGCGTGCCCGACAGTGAGGATGAATCTGTATCTGCCCTGCAAAAAGCCATGAGAACCACAATTAAGGGTCTTTACGACGAAGACGGCATCATTGGCAACGGAGGAGCAGAGGTCATTACGACTTTGCAAGAGTTCATTAATCACCCCCCGCCACCCGCTACATTCAACAGCCTTCGAGAATACCTCGACTATAGGACAATCGATATAGCCGTCTCGTGAGTAGCTCCCAAAATCTCCATATACAGTACGAAAAAAAAGGGAAAAACATCTCAATGACAGCTTCTAGTTACACCGTAGCATGCGCAAAATTTTCTCTCAACTCAACCGTCGACACTACAAGCCCTCGCTTCGCCAGATTCATTCGGCTCTACGCCGACCACCTATCTATTGCCAACGACCTTGCTTCTTTCGAGCGGGAGAAAAGAGCCTATGTCAAGGGCAAGGCGCACTACCTCTTGAACACAGTAGAAGAAGTCCGCAAGATGTGCTCTCTCGACAACGACGAAGCTGCCAAATTTGCCACGCTGGCTATCCAGATGGAAATAGAGCGCGAAATGGCAAGAGAACTCTCGCGTCTGGATGCCGACCGCGAGACTTCGTATGCGGAGAGGGAGCTTCTGAGTGCGCTGGTGTTTCTTGCTGGGGGAAACGTGATGTGCTCGGTTATTATGTCGCGATATGGGGGTGAACGGAGTGCGGTTTAGTGCATGGTCCTTGGGAATGACATCGGTGTATGTGCCATTCATATCAGATTCCCATGATATATAACCATGCATATACCCGAGAATCCCGTCCTCCCCTTCGAATAAGGTCCTTCCATCTTCACACTCTTTTCATCCTAGAAGGCAAGAGAAGTCGAGGATATATACAAAGAGCCTCAATTTCCGCCAACCTAAATACTCTTCGTCTTGATAGTCATGGGGAATGTAGCGGGGACCGGTAGTCACATCAAGGTACGAGGGTGTCAGCAGTGTGCGTGCGTTGTGACGCCATAAACTTATATTCCCCCCAATCAACGTCAACATCCCCAACTATATGTAGTATCCCCTAAGGTCAATCCCTACGACGCGAGACGCGCTTTGTGGCGAGACAAATTATAAGTACTTCGAGTTCAATCAAATCTCATAGTCTCAGCGCGTTGAAATTCCCCAAAGTCTCTTGATAATAAATTTCCAAGCCTACTTTGGACTGCTCTCGCCCTTGGGTATACAAATATTACAATGGCGTTGATGCCTTTGCGCCCTGAACCGGAGAAGCATTTTCTTATCCACAAATATAGGCCTACGTTGTACAGCACGAACGCTGGCTTCTATTTACCTCTTAGAGTCATGGATCAACTTGACTCACGCTTTTGAATCTTACCACGAGAACAGAAGTCACCCTCTACCACGTGACGATCGTGGCGCGCAGATTCATGCGTGATTACCACCCACGTCGGTACTTCGGATTAAAGCAGCTTCCCAATCCGGCTGGTGCGACGACACTAATCCCGCAGATCTCATACGGTTAGCGTGTGTTATATTCTCCTTAGTAAGATGTGTGGCTGTTCATGTTTATGGTTGTGCTGACACGGAATATGATAGTTAGCCCTAATACCCGTCAGCACTGACAGTGACTAGCACATCTTAGAGCATCTGCACAAATAGCATAAACATTACAACGCTACTCTGACATATTTTCGCCCACAGAGTCCTCCACGGCACTTCTGCAGTTTTCGCTGCATTCACTTCACTGATCCGCGCCACCTTACCCTTCGGCAACGATGTGATGTAAGGTCAGGAGGGATGCTTGATCTAAATAGGGCGGCCATGCTGGTTGGTGCCTCCAGCAAAAGCGATCACCGGACTCAACTAGCACAAGATGAACGGATTATTCTCGTCTGGATACAAGCCTATCAGTTATTAGCAGATACATTACGCTATGGCTGTGTCTCCAGCTTCGCAGCCTTACGATTAGACTAAGCCTCGGTTAAATGGCCATCTTATAGATTCGCCAATTCACAACTGTGAGGCACGCAGTAGCAGGCATGCAGAATACTCGAAGAGCAAAGGCTTGTATTTGAGTAGAGATCAGACGAATCATTAAGGAGGAGGAATGGTCCACGCTAGTACTATGACCCGAAGGGTATTCGTGACAAAAACCCTGAAATTAGAGCGGATCGGCCGTCCTATCTCCTAGCTTGATCAAGGCATTTGTCTCATCATTTACCGAGGCCCTAGTAGCAAAATATCAACACGTGGTTCTACAAGGAGATTAGGAAGCTATATAGCTACCTAGACCCTCGGCTCCCTCTATGAAAGGGATATAGAAAAGAAAAATATATCAAAAACAAATAGAACTACTGGGTAGGCTTAAAACTGCTCTTTTCAGAGAGCACGCTATCTATAGGGGCTTTTGTATGAGCTAAAGCATTGCTATTCCAGAGCCGATAATAACGTACAAGCTAGAAGTGTGGTATGTACTTCGTCCACTCTACAGTCTTAAAGGCCGACGGTGACAAATTTCGCAACCCAATAATATCCTCCACCAAAACATACCATCTCAAGATACAGTAGATTGAAAGGCCTGCTGTCATAGGAACAAGTACACGCAGATGCACTTTCAGTTGTGGGTCTAGCGGTGTCGAAATGTTACGGAGCTTCCCAACCACACTTCTACTTTGTTGATCTTGTTCCACGGATGGCAATGATGTGTCCGAAGACGGCTTTTCCTTCTTCATCTTGCGCTTGCGAACGACATGCTCCATAAGCATTAGACAAACACCACTGATAAGGCCGCCAGTCATAAAAAAAAGAGCCGGTGGCAATTCTCCACAACAGCCGCTCGATTGGTGTTGGGAAGGAGAAGTTCCACCCGGTTAGTATTGTAACACAGAAACCGAGTATAAATGGTGCGCTAAGGAGTTCACGGGGCAGGTCTGTCTGAAGCCATGTATCGCTCGGTATACGATCTCGAGGCTTAGCAGTTACTGGACGAGAGTATACCAGTAGATGTAGGATCCTTAGTGTATAAGTGTAGTATGCCCAAAGTTTGCTTAGCTCGCATTCTTCCCGCCCTGCGAAATCAAGAGGGGTGTGGAACCACTGGTAATTCAACAAGCCTTACTACAATTGGTCAGCGTGTTCATAACAATTCTAGGATCTCTATAGTGTTACAAATGTAGTTAGAACATTCCGCTCTGTTTCAAGCAGCATCGTCTCAGGCCAGCGAAACTCTCGGCACTGATATTCTAACACAAAAGTAGCTCTTGAGGTGAGAGAAGTTATCTTGAAAACTTTATACTTTCATTATAGACCCCCGAAATCTGTTTAGAGGCTTTGATGCGCTGTTGAACAAGGGGGTCATTGCTAAGCGGACGATAAATGGCAAACAATGAAATGATCAACGATATAGCCAACATTCAAGAGATATGCGTCGGAGACTGGTTCAGTAAAATCAAAATGGCTTATAGACTCATAGGCTCATTAGGTCAAACTCTATCAGTAGTACACACAACGAGATTCCGGAGGTCGAATTTGTAGAAGTGTCTCGCGACAGCGTGCGTCTCGCATCGCAGGGACTGACCTTACTATATAAATAAGTAATAATATATACAACATCTCAAACCTCACCCCACATGCTCAGTTGAAAAGAAAAAGACTATATACAAACAACAACAATAACAACAACAAGAACAACAACAAGAACAACAACAAGAACAACAACAACATCAAGAAACTTTAAATCTTCTGCATCTCAAAACTCTTAACCGTAACACTGCCGCCAAGCGCACTCGTGGCAAAGTTAAAAACACCATACCTAAACCCTGTGAAAAACTGCCACGTATTCGCAAGGCCAAACGACGGTCCCAGCTGCTTATACGAAGAGCCATCCGTACTATACCAAAACGTCGCCTGGCGCTGCGTATTCGTTCCAAAGGCGGGCGTAATATCCGCCTGGATCCTGAGATACAAGTCTGTAGAACCGGCGGGGATAGCGGGACCGGTAGCGACCACCGTGCCGGTGGACTTGGTGGTGCGGTCGGCGTTGAGTTCGAGGCCATTGACCATGACGAGGGAAGTTGTGGAGCCGGACTTGTGGATGCCGATGTAGGCGGCTGTGTCGCGGAAGAGGACGGCACCGGCGCGGTCGCCGCTGGCCATCTTGCTAATGTCGAGGCGGAAGGTGCCCGAGGACTTGGGGCCGATGATGCGGTGCGTCAGGGTGTTGCGCGCGCCGTAGAGGTCGTTGGTTACGGTGGCGGTGGAGAGTTTGAGGCCGCCTGTGCTGCCGCCGAGGAGGCTGAATTTGGAGGTGTCAGGGTTGTGGTTCCATTCCCATTCTGCGCTGAGGGAGGAGCCGGTGAATTTGTCGATGCCGGTGAGGGCGGGGACGGTCTTGCTGGTGGTTACGGGGGTCGGGTAGGAGGCGCCCCAGGCGTTGTTTACCTTGACGACGGAAGGCCAGCCGTTGCTGTCGAAGGTGAGGGGTGCGACGACGGGGATGCGGCCGGCGGGGTAGGAGTCGAGGAAGGCGACGTAGTACCATTTTCCGTCTTTGGTGTCGACGACACCGCCCTGGTGGGCGTGGCCGGCGTTGGAAAGGGGGCCGGAGATGCTGTCGACGAGGATGCGGGCTTCATAGGGGCCAAAGGGGCTCTTGGATTTCAGGACCCATTCGTCGTCGGCGGGCTTGGTCGAGAAGATGTAGTACATGCCGTTGATCTTGTACATGCGAGATCCCTCGAGAGTGAGGCCGTTGGGGTCGCGGTATACCTCTTGGTTCTTCACTTCGGCGGTGCCGTCTTTGTTGAGTTGGGCAACGCGAACGGCAGGGTTACCATACACGACATACATGGTGTCGTCGTCATCGATGAAGATGCCGTTGTCGTAGTAGCATTTATTAATGCTGCCCGCCGAAGTCCAGTTCCAGCTCGAGACCTCGCCGTTGTTGGCAGCGGCGTTTTGGCCGGGGGCTGTCCAGATATATGTCTGGCCTGTCGATTGAACGCAGCCCATCCAAATGAACTTGTCGCTCGACTTGCGGTACCGCAGCGAACTCGCCCAGATACCCTTGACATAGGACCGTGTAGTCGGGTTTGGCATATCATATGGAGAGCCGAAGTTCAGTCTTGGTACACTGTGAGTGACGGGCGTCCAGTTCACCAGATCGTAAGACTTGAGCACCTGTATAAAGTTAATGACATGATTCAAAACTTGCTAGAACTCAATGCCTACGGGAGCTCCTGGACTGAACGCAAACGTCGACGACGAGTAATAGAATACATCCCCGATTCTGAAAACGTCAAGATCAGGATAATCTTGGTATATAACAGGGTTGTTAAAGGTGGTCGCACGGCTCGACAGCGCACGCTTGTCTGATACGGGGCCTGCAACAGACAAGCCGGCCAAGAGCAATGATAACGAAGAAACTGTAGAAACGCGCATGGTGTCTGAGATGGAGAAAGCGATTCACTCGTCTAGTCGAAAAGCACCAAAGAAACAGGATCCGGGGCCAACTTTATCTATTTAACAAAGTAGCCTACCCCATTTATAACCCAAGCGTTCCTTTCGCTCCAAATTTCTCCACATGAGCAATATTGTTTTAGTGGCTAGTTAGCACTATGTAGTCGGTGCCGCACAAAACGCACTAAACAACCACCCAGATCTTCTAAAAACTCCCGAAATCACGATATTAAAAAAAAAAGCACGGGACGCAATGCTGCGGCTCCACGTATGGGGTTCACCGCACCAGTCTGCGCACGCTCGGTATTGGTGCAGTGGCGGCCCTGAATTCTTCCGTTAGCGGGCGAAATAAGCAAATGATTAACGGAAGGGGGTTTTGCCTTTCATTACCGCCGGCTATGGTGAATTGGACCCGCATCATCATTCATCATTCCGTGGAAAGGGAATGGGAGGCGGGGGCGCGCGCTATGCAGATCAGATAGATTTGCTATTAGTAGAAAAGATCCGTGGGCCCGTCGCCGCCATCGACTTGTCATGCGGGGTTGAAACAAGGAGTCGGGGACAATGAATAAGCTTGTCCTCTCGGATGTCTGCCGCCAATCACGGCCTTGGCCTTTGGAGCATCTCTCCTTCCCGTGCCGTCTCCTTGTTCCGACTGCGCAATTTCAATGTTTCATTATGTCCGTCTAGCTTCGGATACACCCTCGTGCGCTCACGCTGTGCGCAAGAGAAATAGATGATTGTGGCTTATCGCAAGAATTGCCTTGCGTCTTTTATTATTCCTCCTTGTCGGGATACTCTGTCTCAGTTACATTGGGTTCATGCGTGTGGGTTCATCTTGTGAACGTGCGCAAGGTGTTTTGCGAACGATTGCATGGCCATCATGCAACGAAGTAGTCGATGCCAAGTACACTCAAGGAAAGCTTAATCAAGTACAGGCGCAACACGCTTGTATGGCAGTTACTAGCAGGATGCATGCATGTGTATAAGAGACAGCAGATGGACTTGTCAGTGTTCGAGTGACATCGCGTCTGACGTCGAAGCTTTTCCGTAACACACTTAAGCATATGTCTATTCTCACGCTAAGAAATGTCAGCTGTTTCAGAACACATCAATCATTTGGACCGTTTTCTGTTCTAACTATATTTCTCTAGTTAGCATCAAGACGTTTGGGCTTGTTAGGCATATTGGTACGAGGATTTATCCGGACTCGAACTCTAAAGAGAAAAAAAACATGAAGCGACAGGTGCAGGCTCTACACAGTAGTATTCAGTCATGTCCAATTTCATCATGTTGTTGCGATTCTTTATCGAACCCCTGGAAACGGCCCGGACGGCAATTGCAGTACAAGCTTAAAGTCGCGGCGTTATCTCGCTATAATACTATCAACTAGACTCGTCTAGAAGCCCGAAAACCCACCTTAGCGTAGCTGAAACGAAACACGACTTGGAATCCCAGGATAGCATCGGGCTGATCTTCAGTCGCGCTTGTGCCAGAGTGACATACACGCGTAACATCCATGATCCACGGCATGCTCAAACCTTTGGAAGAACCTTCTTCAATACCTCGACCAGCCCTTTGATCTCTTCCTCAGTATTGTAATGTACCATACTGACTCTCGTAACATAGCCTTCAGGGTCTAACTCGAGGATCTCGTCGCACAATCTCTTCGAGTAAAAGTGTCCCCATCGAAAGCCGTAGTTGCTGATTTTTTCGGCTTCAGCCACAACTTGCTTACTGTTCATGCCCTTGACTACAAACGAAATAGTTGGAACCCTGACTTTACTGTCCGTTGATGATGAGCCCAGAACCATGATATCGGGGCGCGAATTGAGGAAGTCGAGGAGGATTGTTTGCAGTTTTCCCTCGTGTTCTGTAATGGCAGGGAAGGCGCCAGAAAGGTACGAAGTGATTTGTGGAATGGACTGAACACATTCGTAGTTTGACCCAGCAAACCCAATCTTATCCTCAAGCGTCTTGGTGGGATTGAAGTAGTGTGCCATGGGTTTCATGGCCTTTTGTCCTGATTCGCTAGCGTAAAGTACGGCGATGTGAGGGCCATAGACCTAAGGTTCTCGTTAGCACATACCGGTGAGGCAAAAGTTTGAACAAGGGCTGATGACCACGACATACCTTGTACCAGCTGAACGCATAAAAGTCTACCCCAAAAGCCTTCACGTCAACCGCACGATGCGGCGCATAACTTACGCCATCCACGCAGAACAAGGCACCGACTTCATGTACCGCATCTGCAATCGACTTGACATCATGTATCGTGCCCAAAATGTTGCTTACATGCGTGCAAGCAACAAACTTTACCTTGTCGCTCAAGAGTGGCTTCAGATTCTCTGCTGTGAGCTTGAGTCCATCTTCCTTGCTAGACGCCCACCACTTCACAGTAAGCCCAAGACGGTCGGCCATCAGAAGCCACGCCTTTACGTTGGTCTCATGCTCCATCTTTGATAGAATGATCTCCGATCCCGCAGGGAACTGTAGCGTCGAGCCAAGATTGACAAATAATTGAGTGGTAGAGGAGCCGAGGACTTTTAATAATTAGAGAGACAAGTATGCGTAACATATCAGGGATGTTACCTATTTCATCGCGACCAGCATTGATGTACTTTGCGGCGGCCTGGTAGCCTTCCTCATACTTCGTGTTGGACTGTGTGCCAGTGTGGTATGAAGCGCCAAGCTGCACATTTGTCTTGCTGAGATACTGTGATATGCTTCATAGGATTTAGTAATCGTGCTGCCTCTATATATGCGGTATACTCACGAATCAATCACTTGGTCCAGCGCCTGACTACCCCCCGCGTTATCAAGAAAAACTTGATCTTGCTGAAGAGCCGGGAAGCGCGACCGCGATTTGGAAATGTCGAAAGTCATTGTGAAAAAACGGGTAGCACAGAAAAGTAAGGTAGGAGAAGTTGGAAAGGAAGTTTATCAGGAAGGTTGATGTTTGAAGTGGAACTAAAGTATACCTACACTAGCCGTGCGCCCTATGTAGATAATGCGGGGCTTTCCTCAATGGAGCAGGTGCTACGTTACGCAGTGCCGCCACTGCCCCACGTAGCTTGAAAACATTCACGAGATGTGTCTCCGCAACCACATGATATGCAGTGAAATATCATATTCTACATTGGGAAGATGCAGCGTGTGCAAGACGTTACCTCGGCGTTACTTGCATGAGCTTCTCAACTAGCCGAAATGATGGAGTAAAAGTCAATCGACATTTCCCTGTTATCATGTATCCCATAGCGATGCCGATGGATTTCCAATAAGGACAATCCGCCTTAGTTTCCGAACATCCTTGGCCGCGTATTATGAACGAAATTATTGGGCCATGATGCACATATGTTGTATGTGGAGTCGTTGGCAGGTAGAGGTCTCTTAATGATGAATAACCGCGCTTGGAATCAGCTCAAAATATAAAGGGAAGAGGAGTTGTTCTGACATGCCGAGTTCAATCATCGGACACCGGCGGACGTTTCGACAGCATTAGTTGCTGAGGGTTCATAATGGATTAAATGCATTGAAAACTGGCCAAGGGACCCGGAACTCAAAAGCCGATTTGGGAGACCTTCTGATAAAAAAATACTGGAAACTGTCAAAACAGCTGTCCAATCTCTCTTTTGTGAAAAAAAAGGTTTTTGTCACTCGGCGGCTTGCACAGAGACGGTGTGCTCGTCTTCATCACAATATATGATGCGATTCAGCTGATGCAAAGTATCTTGAAATCCATATAACATATCAAATTAGAATTTCTGAGATCATAGAGGGCTAGTTGTACATAGCTGAGGTTGTAAAATGATTCATCTATACCGCAGGCGCATTTGCACCAACCAGCATCTTCCCATTGGTATTAGGATCAAGACTAACCCTTTTGTGTGCTAGCTCTAGCTGGTATCTCCGCTCCACATACGCATCCCGACATCTGCTTCCATCAACTACCATCACCCATGAATCCTAAGATCTGCAAATCCTCAAATCAAGTCATGGACAGCCTCATTTCGAGACACACGTCCAAAGGTGAGTACTTCCAAGACACTCCTACGGCATTCATCGGTTAACGTGGCATCCCAGGCAGCAGCATGAAGTCGCTTTGTGATCTGCCAAATGAGATATTGTTACAGATCTTCTCATACGTAGATCTGCATCGCGAGACACGTATTCTGGGCTACATATCCGATGAGCCTTTGCCTTCTTGGCCAGATAATGACCTGCTTAGAGATTTTCGCCTCCACAATTCCTGGCTGCTAAACATTGCTTTGACATGCAAGCGATTTGCAGCTTTAATCCCAGAGGTAACATTACGTATGATCGTATTGGAAGCCTTTTCAGTATCTGTGCAGCCTGAGAGCCCTCAGCTTGGTTGGTCAGCTCCATTCGCTCTCCTTTTTCAGTACAGGGAGAGGCCGGATCTCATTCAACAAATCAAGCAACTTCGTATCCATCTTCCATATACCGACGAGCACGACAGGTATCGTTGCGACAATAAGGGAATGGCCAAAATGCTAGCTTCATTGAGTGTACCCTCTGCTTGGAAGTTCAAACTTTTTAAAGACATCACAACTAGCTTTGGACGAGGTACATTTAATGCCCTATTAGCGGTAGTAGAATTGGATGTATTGTGCGTCTCCGACTCAACCGAAGAACCAAAACTCGAATGGGCAGAACAGCTCTCAGTCTCACCGTTCACTCCCCCGATTATCCGCTCGCTGAGATACCTTAAGATTGAAACTAAACTACCTCCCAACATTCAACCAGTGGAGATCTTTCAAAAGCTGAAGACTGTTGATTTAAGTATCGCACTTTGCAACTCAACACCAATGGATATAGTATCAGCGCTAGAAAAACTTGCAAACACCGCGGTAAACAGCATAAAGCAACTGCGTCTTAGTTTCGAAATCAGAACAATCGGAATGTGGAACAGTACGAAGCGAACCTGTATGTCGGATGTAGTGAAAGGCTTCCAGAATTTGGAGAGTCTCGTATACTATACCGAGTCGTCGGTAGCGAAGAATCCCTATCGTAGTCTTCGCAGTTTCCCCAATCATCAAGCGAACATCCAAATATATCCTGAGGTTTCACAGTCTCCGCAATCGGGTGAAGGTTACTTGCGTACGCCACGCCACGTCTCTCTCCTCAATTGAATCAACTACTAACCACCACAAAAGACCACGCTATATACGAGGCACGCACAACTATCACCGACTACCAATGCCTTGTCGACAACCTCGTGCACCTACGCCAGTCTCTGAAACACTTGCAACTTCCAGGCGGCTTTTGGACGCTACCTGGCGCGGCTCGCAAGCCGATCCCGCGTTTCGATCAGTTTACGCAGCTTCAAAAATTGACTGTGCCACAAGCGGTCCTTATCTCCATCAAACTGGATAACATGCAGGTTGACACCGTCTCCCAAGGCGACTTTGAACTTTCTGCTTCAGAGGTGTTACCGGTGTCGCTACAACATCTCACGGTCTTCGATCTCGATGAGACGTTCTTGGGGAGCAAGTGGCTAGAGGGATTGTTCACTGAGCAGAAGAGCCACTTGCGATGGCCCAAGTTCCGCACCTTGGAGCTGTTGATGGGACCGACATTCTCTGATGAAATGCTGGAAGGGCTTCTGGCAAGGCGTATTAGTGCGGCATTCTGGGCGAGGGTTGATGAAGCCGGGTTCGATGTCGTCGTTGGGAGGGACGACTTGGATCCTTCGTTGCTTCCAGACTTATGGGAGTAGTATACACGCATACATATAAGGAACCTCAAACTCCTAGCATATTTGACAATCATATATAGTTAGCATTCGAGATGTCTTTCACCGACCAGAATCCCCTTTATCGAGCAAGAAAAACTTGTATTTGCACCTTGTTCCCCACACCACTCGACCAAAAAACAAATCACATTCTCGTAAGAATTTGAAAGTAGAGGGAGTTTCGGATTATTCAGTGAATTCATATATACACGTATAGACATTTATGTAGCAGAAAGCACAGTCATATGGAAACGTAAAGTTATGCCAGCAGAAACGCCGCGCTCATCATAATCATGAATTCTCATAGGTATCGTCTAAGTTACAGAAAACAAGAAGAAATACAAAAAATCTCAAAGCAATAAAAAGGCTGTTACAAAAAAAAGCCCTCTATTCTATTGTTTCCCCACCCAGTTTAAGCCTTGGTCTCAAAAGTGCGGGCCTCAAGGTCCTTCTCAATAGAAATAGAGTCGGAGTCGGGAGCAGCCTGTTCGGTACCGACGTGGGACTCAGTGTAAGCATCGAGCTCCTTGCCCTTTGCAATGTTGAGGTAGAGAGGGTACGACCAAGCGATAGCGAAGAAGCCAAGGGGGACGCACAGAGCCTTTCGGGTGCCGATGATATCAGCGACGTTTCCGAGGACAACGGGGCCGACGGCGCCGCCGCAGACGGAGGAGACGAGGAAGGAGGCACCGCGCTTGGTGTGGCGACCGAGACCGCGGAGGGTGAGAGCGAAGATGATGGGGAAGATGCAGGACTCGAAGAAGAGGACGAGGTTGAGCATGCTGATGCCGCCCCAGTTTGTGCTGGTGGCGCTGCCCGTGTTGGTGCCGATGGCGGCGGAGATGAAGATCATGATGAAGGTTTGGAAGGCGAGGAGCACGTAGCGCGGCTTGCCGCCAAAGTACATGATACCCGCGGCGGCGAAACGACCGATGGCGAAGAGGGATTGCGCAATGGCGTAGAAGTTGGCGCCCTTGTGGTGGCTCTCGGTGATGCTCAGTTGGGGGGAGGCCTCGGCGAAGTAGTTGATGTAGTAGGCTGCGCATCCGACTTGGCCGGCAACGTAGGAGAATTGTGCAAAGGTTCCCCAGAAGAGAGTGTACTGCTTGCTGAGGGGCTTGTCGACGTAGCCGTTGCTGGCGGTGGTCTCTTCCTGCTCGGCCATGTCGCTGTCGGTGACTTCGGGGATGTACTTTCCAGCGAAGAAGAAGACGAGAGCGAGAATGGCAACGAAGGCGGCAATGGCAAGATACACGTATTGGACGGCCTCGAGGGACTTTCCATCCTCTCCGACGTTCTTGAAGATGACCTGGGCGGCGAGGACGGGCGCAACGACGGAGCCAACAGCCTGGACGGACTGAGACAGCTCGAGACGGAACTCGGACCACTTGGGGGGACCGCAGACGGCAATGTATGGGTTGGCGCTGACTTCAAGAGTTGAGAGACCGGATCCGGCAATGAACATGGCACCGCAGAAACCACCGAAGGATCGCTTCACGGCCGCAGGCCAGAACATGAGCGCACCGACGCAGTAGATGCTGAGACCGAGGATGAAGGTCCATCGGTAACCGAACTTGCGAAGAAACCATCCAGAGTAGGTCAGAGGACCGATGAAGTAGGCGCCAAAGTATGCGGCCTGGAGTCCAGAAGACTCTCCCTGGGAGATGTTGAGCGCGACTTGGAAACGGGAGTTCAAGACATCGAGGAGTCCATATGCGAAACTGGGTAACAATGTTAGTTCGTTGTCTGGAATGAGAGAAATATGGAGGATGTTTGCTTACCCCCAGCAGAAGAAGAGCGAAGTGACCAAGGTGACGGGAAGGATGGATTGACGAGCAGTGAGGGCCGATGCTCCAGTGAGAGCACGGTTGTCGACTGATGCGCGGCGGACTTCAGCAACAGCAGTGGCAGGCTCTTGCGAGTCCTTCTTTCCAAAGAGACCCATGGTTGCGATAGAAAAATAGAGTCAAAGATTGACAATCTGAGGGGGGTTCCCACACAATTAAGGAGGATCCCGAGATAGATGGGTGTGAGAGTTGAAGACACAAGATGCGATGATGATGATTTCCTATTCAAGGGGGGATTCGGCATTCGAATATATATACTGGGCATTTGCGCTCTATGCCCACCAAGTGGTTGAGGTCGCGACATGGGGCTGGTGCCATCCAGACTTGTTAGTTCCCCCGCTAGTCCATCGGTAGTTCGACGCCGACCTTGGGGAATAGCCAACCTGGGTGTTGGGGTAAACCAGGCCCTAGTTCATGTTCTAATGCCCTTGGTGCTAATGCATTGTCCCCGTATAGCTAACGCCCCCAGTCTCCGCAAATTTTCATCGGATGGAGGTTGTGGTAGGCTGGAAGGCTGTTAGGGCCCGCGCCATCCCTCCGAAAGTGCTGCCGATTGATGTCGGATGATGCAGAGTACCGGCCAATCGTGGGCGTTGCTTGGTGGCGCTAGAAGAGCTTGTGTAGGTGGGCTCCACTTATTCTTGAGCCGCATCATTGATCAGACATTTCTTCTCCGTATGGGGCTCGATAGCTCTCTCCACGTTGCCAACCCCATGGAGAGAGGCCTAGCGTTTAAAAATTGGGACGCGCAACTGTGGAGTCGACTCCTCTATCTGAAGCTCTAGCCACGCTCTTTGCTAACATCAAGCAGGTGTCTTGTCCGCACCCTGCTGCTGATCTCTGCTCTCTGCGTGACGCGCTGGTGTTCGCCCACACAAGAGATAAAAGATTGCTGCAAGGAATGGTAATGGAAGCTTGAAAAGCCAATTAGCAAACGAGAAAAAAACTACTAGAGGTTCTGTGCTGCGCCATGACCCAGCTCGAGACTCCACGACATGGCTTGTCTAGCGTTGGCGTGCAGCCGGTAGCCTCTGGGCCCTTGGCGCATTCGGCCCTTACACATCGGGCAATGTTGAGGGTCTTGCAACTGTCCAGGATGTTCTCGCAGGGCCTGGAGCTTAAATTCAGTAAGCCATTGCCGCGCAGCCGCGTATTTCGACGGCTCACATACACATCGCTGGGTTGGACTGAAGCGCGTATGGAAGTTTGTCCCAACATGCGCGAATTTACACAAGATCTACTCCACATCACACGATTCTGGGGAGCATCCATGGCATTAGGTCAATATTTTGTCGAATCAGACGAGATGTGGCTTGCATTGTTGTTGATTCAAGGCATGCGGGTATACCATTCCCCATGCACCAAAGGAGGAGCATCACGCAAGGCTTCATGCACGGTTGCACTTGTCGTCACTCCGAAAGCCGGCGAAGATTGCTAGAATCATAGACTGATTCACTCCCGGTGTTCTGGCACGTCGCTTGAGGGTTCATCCTTCCTGCCCACTGCACCACACGGCAGCTAGGATGGGAGACGGTTAAAGCAGTCGTCTTCGCCACGAGGCTCACGAGATCTGCATGCTACAGACCCGAATGTGAGGGCTGACAGCAGTTCGATGCCCTCTTCTAGCGGTCTTCCAATATTCTTCTGTGCATACCGTTTGCGTAGCCTCCCGCCCTCGGCCATAATACCCATCAATGACGTTGTTGCACTAAATCGCACGCACCGATGCAACCCATGTCAGCGGGAGGTTTGTCGGAGCATCCAAAGTCTGGGCGCTCGGAGGATCGTCATACTGCCCTCGTGCTCGAATGCGAACCAGCTCACTACACCTGATTAGATTACTACCGGCTGATAGAAAGTGGGGTAGCGCCTGGGACGCCCGACGCCAATCAGATAATAATGTCTTTCGTGGACCACACCAATCAACGCTGTCCACCTCCAAGGTTCTGGGCGGCACGCCTGGATCTTGAGGGCGGCGCCAGCTTAGCTGGCTGCTGCTAAGCTTAATACAACTAGGGCTCGGGCGCTATTTGATCAAGGCATATCTCGCCGCAAGTAGCCGGCCAAGTGGGTGCAACATCTCCATCTGGGGAATTTTCGGCTTTCAACAACGTACCTGGGGCAAGTGAATGCGGAGAGCCCAAATGCATGCAGGTGAGCCCCAAGGGTGTGCGAGTCATGCAACCGAATTGTTGGGCTCGAATGAGAATGCGAAGGCTATCGCGAAAATACGGCCTCTATCCTGCCTTGTATGGGAATAGTGTATAGGGTGCAGACGGTATGTCTTCAGAAACAGCGCAATGCTGGTCCTCTGACTTTCAGCTCGTGTCCCCAGTCGCCCATTCTTCGTCTTTGATGACATTCCAGGCTTCCTCGTTGGTTTATTCCTCTGGCATTCTGCCTCTGTTAAGACCCTCCAGACTTTCCAACAAGAAGTGACTTCAACGTCACCATCATAGCGCGGGTGCATACTATCGCTGATGGGTTGATTTGCCGACTGCAAACGTTGAAGGAGAGATGTATCCTTCGTAGGCCGATCTGGGCTGAAGACATTGTCAGGTGGGGAGTTTGGCTGGGGCGGCACATCTGTTAAACCATAACGCAGGTGTTCCAAGAGGAACTTGTGGAGAACAGGAACCACCGTTTGAAGAAGATGTGGTCCGGGGCTGCAACGAGCCCCCGTCCGGTCTTACTTCGGCAGACGTCCGATGTCCGATACTCTTCAGCATCCGACGTTCGACGTGTATCAATACCCGGAACTGTTATCAAGAGGAGGAATAGTCAACAATGACTACTAACTTCCAATAAGTGCTAGAGCAGGAGCTTCGTTCCAAGAGGACGAGTACTAAAGCGTCGAGATTAGCGTTCAACAGACCTTTGACATGCGCTTCCGTGTACAACGAGTAGAATGGGCGCCTTGCACGAATACACAACCACAACACAACGTACTGTGTATGTGGCATAGGTTTTGTACGGATATGGTAAACTTCTTGTACAATTTCTCTCCCTTCTACCCTGTCCAACCTCCTTGTCATGGAAGGACCTTGACTCTCGATGTGTAAAACACACTGGCCCGATCCTCTTCTTTCTTTTCCTTCCCTAGTTCCTCTATCCTCTCTTCTATTATCTATTGTTGCCACCCATAAAGAGAGGAAACTCCAGCCCAAGGCAACGTCGTAAGGCTTCGTATGAAAATCCAAATCCAGGGGGAGATGATCATAGCGTATTGCGCCTCTCGAGAGCGATTTCGCCGCGTCCTTCCAAGTCTTCGAGGTCTTGTAAGTATGTCCCTATAACATCTTTGTGTAAATGTCTTACCGAGCTCATTGCCAGTCCTTACACGCTTTCCTCGTATCATCCGGCGTATCATACATCCGATGGGGATGCAAGTTACAAGAAGGGTGATAAATGCGATGATGGCTTCGATGGTCCATAAAGAGGCCATGTTGTGTGCAAGGATGAAGGTCGGTCTGGTAGGCAAAGACGATGGTCCGGACAGTGGTAAAAGGCAACTTAATATCAATCGCCGGCAGCGATACGGCCAGCTCGTCTGCAGCTATTACCACATTGGGTATATACTCCATTTACTCATTAGGTTAATACCTCATCGTGATGAGCTTTCGCTGATGCGATCATTGAGGCTTGGACGTAGCTGGCACAACTCAGGTTTTGCTTGATTGGCCAGTAGCTCTACCTAAACTCGAGGCGAAAGAGCGGGTTGGCCTAATTCGAACTCAGGTTTTTCTTGATTGGTCGGGCACGAAAGCACTCCATGCAGGGGGGCAGGGCAGCGGCCTTGTGTTACTTGGACCCCAAACTCAGGTTTTGCATGATTGGTCAACTTGGCGGCTTTGGCGAGGACCTCTAATATATCTACCTCGTCCGGACAGTGTTTTACGCTGCAACCAAACATCCTCTTTATCGATCTCAATTTTATCCTTTCTCCCTCTGTAATTGCATACTTTCGCATTTTACTTTTTTTCAACAAGTCCACTAGCCACCCGCAAGGATGAAGCAAACACGAAGAGTCCTCGCCGATAGAATCGACAACGCAACTTGGGATCAACACCGCGAGACCATCCACCGCCTCTTCATCCTTCAGAATCGCAAACTGGAAGGGCCTGAAGGCGTGATGCATGTGATGTCCAAAGTCCATGGCTTCAGTGCCACGTAAGTTATTATGTTGCTACGCTATGCAAGGCTGAGACTGACCATCCTCTAGCGAAGCGCAGTATGAAAATCATTTCAAACTTTGGAATATTCGGAAGAAGGTTACAGATCGAGAGTGGAGTGTTGTTCTTTCACATGTACATGTGAGGGCACAGCACGGCGAAAAGACTGATGTCATATTTAACGGTGCGCTTCTTGACGAGGAACGCGTTGCGAGGGAAATCAATCGACGCGTCTCAAAGTACAACAGGCATCTGAATAACTTACAAAGTAAGTTTATGAGACGATCGCTTATACGAAATCGAACTAAGATTATAGACCTTCCGAAGTTGCCTCTCGGCTTCCGGTTGGAATCCCCGCCAAGTTCTCCCGTCCCACATGCAGATAATGCCATATCCGGTCACAATCCTACAGGCTGCGTAGACCAGTATCTCAAGCCCGCAATCGCAAGTGTAGTCTACGATTGGCTTAGGTACCGAAGAGATTCGCAACCGGATTTTTCTCTGTTGGCACTGACTTCATCCGATACAACTTGGAAGTACAGAATTGCACCAGAACGATATAGGAAGCAACGACATATGCTTGAGAAACGATATGACGAGAGTCCGAACTTCTACCCGTCATGCATGGATGACTATGCCTATGAACATGTTTCGGATGAGCTAAAAAACATGGGTGCTGAATGTCATTCCATCAAATGGGAGGTAGGTTTGACTCAACGTGATCTATCTTCATTCAGAGACAGATACTTCAATGGTTTCTCGTGGGGCTTCGAAGGCGACTTAAGGCGGTATCACGAAAATTGGCATTGTGATGATTGCTCTAACTGCCAAGAATCGTCCCCAGTTTTCGACCAGTGCATGGAATGCTGTTCAACAGATGGCACATCATTGATAGAGGGATCTGAATGGCGCGTGCGATTAAAACTTGTTGTTTTTGGAATTATTGTGCCCAACCAAAGATGTACAGTAGACTGGGAATTGAACATATCTTCCTCGATCGACACCTTTCGAAAGAATCTGGCTTTCCCGTCAAATCACAACATCAACAAGCGCGCGCCAAACCCAACCACAAAATCGCCCCAGACACCCCCCAGTACCACGACCCTGAAACACATCTAGAACAAGTCGTGTATCGGCCCGACTCCGATTCAAACGCATCAAAAAGATCACCCAACGTATCACCAGTAAACAAGGCATCACTCATCATGCACGCGGAAAACATAAAAAAACAAGGGTTGGTATAAAACCATGTTAATGATTTCTCTCTCTCCCTCCTTCCTATTCAGGTATAATATAAGTAGTAGTAGTGATACAATCAAATCTCTCTCACTCGCCCCATCCATATCCACACTTCATACTCCACCAAAAACAAAACAAAAACTCTTACTGCAACTGTGTCGCCAACTGCGTAACCTTATCCTTAAGATCCTGGCTCTCGCGTCCGGCAGCCTCGTTGATCTTATCCCTCAAGTGGTCAACCTGGAGACCGGGAGCAGTAGGCGCCCTACCGAGCGCAGTTTCGATCCTCGAAATCTGCATTTGGAGGAAGAACTTGGGGACCTTAATGGAGTTGACTTGGGCGCTGCCCTCGCTGCGCAGACCGGCTTCGGTGGCGTGGTAGACGTTGAGGGCGTCTTGGAAAGCCTCGAGGTTGGATTCTGCAAGGGGCGTTGCGGTTTCGAAGAGGCCGAGGGAGAAGGCGAGGGGGCCCTGGCCTGAGGAGGCAAAGTTGATTTGGGAAAAGGTTTGGCCGCCAGAGGTTACGTCGGGGATGTTGTCGATTGTTTTGGCGTTGGCGTTGCACGTGACGCTGCCTTGGATTTGGTCCACGACTGCGCTCGTCTCGGCAGGGAGCTGCTGGTTGCCGATGACGAAGCAGGGCTTGTTTTGGCGCGCGCTCAGATTAGCTGCGGGCAGGGCGCTGGCAAGGCTGCCGAAGAGCGCAAATGCAGTAAGGGCGTTGGTGTACATTTTTCTGTGTTTGACGGAAAAAAATGTTATATAACTTGTTTAAATAAAGAATATGGGGTTATTTTCGTAAGAACGAAAAATAAAAGAGACTATGGTTTAAAGAATGGAAGCTAAGGCCCTAGCCAGAGGGGGGAGTGTAGCGACTGAATGAAGAGAGCGAGAGAGAGAGAGAAACGAAGTGACTGTAAAACACTGTAGAAAGTAAGTGATCAGCGATAGCATTACAACGTCCTTATATATAAACGCCTCACAGTCCTATCACGAACACCTTTTTGCCCAGGCGCAAAACGGATAACAAGGCAAAATACCCCACAGTGTCCCTGTATCATCCAGGCGGTGACACGATGTTGACGTTTGGCTCGCGACACTTGGGGTTTGAGCAGACTGGTTACCCACGTCGTCGGTTCGCTTATCAGCCCCCACTATAACCCGATTGTGTACCCTGCCCCGAATACGTTCGGAACACGGTCCAATCATATGGCTTGCCGTGGTTGGATTTCTCGGAAAACAGGCACGCATTTCTGGCATGCGAAACTTGCGTGCCTTGGTGGCTGGATACTTCAGAGGAGAAAGGGGGAGGTGGTAAGGAGTTTGCAGTAGTTGCTCAATGCCGCAAGTCCTCAGCTGATTTAGCCTGTGTTACTGCTGTGTGAGGTCTGACAGGAAATCATAAAGAAGGAGGATTGCATGTATGCTCCTGTTCCTGTGGCAAGGCAAGTGGGGGCAGGAAGGAGGTGTGGCTTCATCATCTGTGTATGTACATATCAATATGTACAATGTCGCCCAAAGCGGGGCGAGCACGTGGATCAAGAGCTATCCCGCAGGTCCACTAGCATATCCCTACCACTGCGCACCTTTTGTGCATCAATCCATACACTCGCAACCAACCCTGATCATCCATTACATGCACGGCATATGAGGCGACTAGTCAATTCTGCTTCACTACTACACGAAATCTCCGCCAAAACACCGCGGCGTTCACCCTGGTATCAGTCATGCGCACTATCCTAACTCTCGGGTGGCGTCAATGGGCCATGTGCTCGAAAAAACACCGTTCCCAAGAGTCCGTCTATACAAGTAACGCGCCCCTGCTGCGTTTTCAGTCCGGTGCCTAAGTACGCCATGCTAGATGTGAAGGTGCATATGAGCCCTTGGAAAAGTATATAAAGTTGACAAAAGAAAGAAAAAAAGTGTATCCGCTTAAGCGGCGCCAACATGCTATAAATCCACTTTTGAAATCCAAACGAATGCAACAAGGTATAAAGTTATTGAAGCTAAGCTGCAGTGGTCATGGGACTCTGTGGGGGCCGCTCAACATGCTCAGCAAGGGGGCTGTTGGCTTTTGTGGCATGCTTATCATCAGCCGCTCGTTGACTCGGCGTCGACTCTTCCGCGATATCACTCATGTCTGAAGCTGCGCTGTCCGAGTCGGATTCGTCAATCTTGAATGCCTCACGGAAGTTCGCAGGGGTTATCGTTTGAGATGAGACGTGTCGCTGCTTTGTCGTGTCTGCCGATAGCTTCCGAACGGCGAAGGGGTCGATGTTGTCGCTTCCCGGAGACCATGGAATTGCTGCAGTACCACTAGCAACACTACCATCTCTTTCATCGGCGGATGCTGCCTCAGCTGCTTCTTGGAGCTGCTTCTTGGTCTTCAGTCGCTCTTCTGCTGTCATGTTCTGCCAGTCAGCACCAAACTGGATGACAGATGCTTTTTTGCCATGGACAGTAAAGCTGCCCTTGCCACGCGCTAGTCCCTCACTTTCGGTGGTGTCACTGGCAATCGTAGATGCAGAGTCTCTGCTCTTGTGACCACGACGGTGTGATGAGCTACCACGAGACTCTCGAAGAGTGCGGTGTAAGCTTCTTTTTTGTCTAGTATGTGATCTAGGCGAGCCCGCCAAAGCGGCAAGTGCTTGTTCGCCGTCGGGTTCAATGCCGGCCTCTGGTCGAGTTGTGCCCGTTGGTGATACCTCGGGTAGTTTGGAATCCAACTCTTCCACTTCGCCAGGGGGTGGAGTGGCATACTGCGACCCGTTCTCAGAGTCAGACTCCGAATCCGAATCCGCTGTGCCATCACCTGTGGTCGATATAGAAGGCCGGTGGCCAGCGACATAAGACGGCGATCGTGCAGAAGAGCTTGCAAATGAACTTCGACGGTCCGATGTCGTGGGGCTCATTGATATTGGAGCTATATGGAAGTGAGCAGACGGATCATTAGGACTGGATTGCCGAGATGTTTCTGGCGGTGTCTTGAACGCTTCATCCCCACCAAATTCTGTTTCCCTGGAGGACTTGGTCTCTGGCCGACCCGACAAGCCAGGAGACAATGGGGCTGGCTTGTTTCCGCTGGTAAGTGAGCTGGTTTTCGAAGTCAACCTTGCCAGACTATTGACTTTGGAGCCTCGGTGAGATTGCTGAGGGGAAATCTGTGGCTGATGGGCTTCTGAAGCTCGATCGGTCTGTGCTTGTCTGTCGATGCCCCCCTGCCTTTCATCTTCGAGTTCCTGGGCCAAGATGTCACGGTGACACTTCATCCGCCAAATCTCAATACGGGTCCATTTCAACTTGGCTGATAAGCGCCCTGCAGCATGAATAATAAGCTCCCTCGTCTTTGGCTGAATAGGCGCAAGAATCTGAAGATGTCTAGCATCTCTCAAGCGTGCTTCTAACTCTTTGATAGCCGAGGTCAGCTTGTCCTCGGATTCGGATATGCGCACCTGCATGAGGTCTTTCCGGGCGTTCATCATTTGCTGTGCAAACTGGCTGTCAATCTTTCCGCTTTGGACCGTCACCTCGCCAGTGGTTGTCGGTATTGTCCTGGTTGAATGCGAAGACTCTAGACGCCTCATGCCCCGGTTCCTCTGCCCTTCGTACAAGCCACCAATCATGCCTCTGGAGCGAACACCAAGAGTCTCGAATGCGGCAGTATAGTTCAGCACACCCAGCCACTCATTCAAATCCTTCTCGCTATCAGCTAAAAACGTTTCCTCCCCGGCTTTTGAAAACATGACGAAAGCATGCTTATGTTTCTTGTAAGTGTTGTCGACCAGTGCAACAGCACCATCCATCGGTATGATGTGATCTTGTTTGAAGTCTGGCAGGGCTGGCTGGAACACTACGGGGCCGGCTTCACCGCGTTTCAGATGTTGCTCATGCTGGCTCATTAAGCTTCTCGTCCATGTAGAATTGCGGAACAAGGACAACCCCGATCGTGTGAGCACAGCACCCCATTCTTGCCATGGCGAGCGTGCCTTCTTCTTTTTCGTGTCCTTTCGCCATAGGATCCCAACTTTGGTCACGGGCATTTCTACAATTCCAACTGAGGTACCGAGCGGGTTTTCCTGGGCTGCTTCTGACATGAAAGCCTCCGGCCTTGATCTGGAAGACACAATCTGGATTACACCGTACCTTGAAAACAGCTTGTAGATATTCTTAGTATCTAGTGTTGCCGCAGTTCCGGTGTAGTTGTAGGGGTCATCCAATTGCATCACGTCTCGAATAGTGGGACGAAGCGCGTCGAGCTTACCCTCGAAAATCAAGGTGTACGGATCGATGGGCTCTTTCGCCGCCTTTCTCGCGGGATCATTCATTGATCCCTTGAGTACAGCTGTCCTCTTGCTTTTCTTCGAAGTAATGTTTTTCAAGTCAACCTCATCGTCAATATGGATAAAAGGGGTGTATACGATGTTGTCATAGAAGCAGCCCAGGACATCGGCCGATACACCTTCACAAGACGAGTTCTTGATGTAGTCTGGCCTCTGCATTTTTCTTTTGTTGTTCTTGTTGAAGACGTCAGTGTGGAGAATGATGATGGAGAAGGATATAAAGTATGCTTTGTCTATGGTACGTTAGAAGCATGAACATGTCTTATGGGGAGAGTAGCATTACCTGTATTGATGTAAATGCCGGGGTTGCACTCATGATAGCGGTCAGCGAAGCCCTGAAGAACACGGTCAATCTGCTGCGCCTCCCTGGGCAGCTCGACCTGCATGAGCAACTTGCGAATAGCCATGTCAATGGGGTCACCGAAGAAAGCAAACTTGCGCATGTAGCTTCGCAATACCGCAAGCAAAAAAGGGTCATCAGTCTTGCTGAGGTAACTGGCGACAACGCTTTTGTCAAAATTGTTTGCTTCGATTCGTTCCAGATATCTTCCTGGGGTCTCGCCCTCTTCGCGCTCCGGTAGGATCAATGTTTCTCGACTAATGTTCATTGAGTTTTGATGGGAGGACAGGGCAGAGTTTCCTAAGAAGCCGTGAGCAGATGCGCCATGTCGAGGCGAATGTGGCTCAGAGTTCTGTCGAAATCTCGATCCGAGGCCAAAAAGATTGCTGAAACTACTTCTTCCAGCAGTCGATATTGAAGTCCTGCCACTGGGACCTCCGGGTGGTGTGGGAGATCCAGCGTCCTCAGATCGCGCGTCTAATGAACCCATTGTCGATGAGCGTCCTCGGAGCCCTAAGCGAGCAGCACCGTTGTTGTTTCCCGAGGAGTGGGCCGAGCGAGATGATCTGTACGAATCGTTGCGAAGGAGAGTGCCTGAACCGGGTGAGGCCAAATTCAAAGCACCAGCAGCTAGAGCAACTTGCGATGCAAGAGGGATTGGCGGCGTCTGTGCCCCTGAATCCCCATGGTCGACACGGCGCGCAGTCAGCGGCGGACTTCCTGGTGGCGAGTGTTGATTCGAGGCCGTACTCCTTGCCCCGGTCGAGGCACGTGGGGTGGCAGGTGCGGTGTCGGGGAACTGTGGAGGCTCGACCTTCATGGGGAGGGGGAATAACGATGCCCGTTGCTTCCGGCGGCCAAAGGTGAAGCGGCCGGTACCCGTCCGAGCCGGGTGGCTGGGTCGCTGGGGGTTTTCGAAGGAGACGTGGCCGCCGGAGCTTCCGTCTGACCTGGAGGATTCGGATGCTCTAGTAGCAGGAGGGGCCAAGGAGTTTGTGCTTTCGACTGATTCACGTGGGTCTGCAAGCACATCTGGAAGGCGCTGCCTGCATGGTAGCGGGTGCTCGTTCTGGTCGTCGTGAACATTGCCATTGCCCTTTCCAAAGCCGAGGGGTCGCCGCTTTCGCTCCATGGACTTGCGCAAAGTGGTGGGCTTGTCGGCTAGGCTAGGGTCGAAGGAGCGTCGTCGCAGCGCAAGTTGCTGCATGCGGCTCCTCTTGGGCGTGGGCTTGGCATAGTCCTCGTGGTCCGTCACGGTGGGTGCGGTGGTGATGATGGCGGGCGCTATTACGAGTTCTACGTCAGTACGAGGTATGCGAAGACTGGCGGTACTGGTACATACTCGCGGGGGTTGCAGGCACAGCAGGGACGGGCGGAGCATTGTCCTGGTCATGGCCATGGTTGCCGGCCTGCTCCTTTGCCCTGGTGGAGAGCTGCGAGTCCGAGGCATGGCGGAAGCGCATCAGACTGAAGCGCCTGGTGTTGGGCGTGTGCTCCTGTACAGGCGGAGAAGGTGGGGAGTCAGCGTCGTGGCCGGTTGAGGGCCGCGCCATGTCGGACGAAGTTGGGCGGTAGCCATCTTCCGAGGCTGCGATGCGAGTAGTAGAGTCGAGGTTGTCGGTGGACTTTGCAAAGTGCGAGTCCTTGTCGGCGCGCCTGAAGAGGCCCGCCGGATCGAGGGTGCTCCGCCGCTTGAGGTCTCGTTCGCTGCGGTTCGGGCGGAGAGAGCGCAGAGGCATGGCTGCTCGCGCCGACTAGCAGCTCATGAAGGCAGGAATTGCGTCACGATGCGGCACATGGCACAGCAGAGAGGGAGGTAGGCAGGAGGCGTGGCCGTGGACGTGGACGTGGACGTGGACGAGTGTTTACGGGGGACGTGTTGGCTTGTGTAGGGGGGTGAGCAGCAGTGCGGTAAGGCTGAGTGAGAGAGAGCGATGCTGGGATGGGCGGGTCAGAGACTGGGCACGATGGATGCACGCGTAGCCGGACTGGGGCAGAGGGGCAGCCGACGTCACTGGAGCGGTTTTTTTTCTGGGACTGTAGGTAAGTAAACTGTATAGGGGGGTGTGGACGAAGAGGCGCCAGGCCGGAGGGCATCCGCTGTCTCCAGGCACTGGCGGGCGCACTGGTACTCTTTGTGCAGCGCGCGGTGGAGAGGCCGCCAGCACCAGCCACACACACGCACAAATGCACACGCGCAAGCCACACCGATCCGCTCTCAGCCACATCTGCCACGTTCTGCCCCGGCATCCCAACCGGCAGCCCGACAGGCCGACGGATGGGCCAGACACTACATCGACACTAGACCACTAGACACCCTTCTTTTCTCCGCCCAACGCGACGTCACCCCGAGCAGCTCGTAGCCTGGCCAGCGACACTGCTCTCTCGCCATGCGCCGGCCCACGCTTGCTGTCCTGAGCCTGCTGTGCCTCTCGCCTTCTTTTACCCTCGCCGCCCCGCACGACACCACATCGCCGCTCCAGTACGATACCCAAGGCACCTACGCCTCGGCCCACAACGCGTCACCACGACCATGGCGCCGCCTGTCCGACGCCATCATCCGTAGGATATGGGCCCTACCCGCCGACCAGAAGCGCCTACATGGCGACAACCAAACTCCTGCTGTAGCCAGTCCATTGGGCTCTGGCCTGGCCGCCCAGTATGGCGACGACATTGTGTTGAGATTCAAGATCCGCACCGCCGATGAGGCTACCGCATTCGCAAAGGCCGCCGACATCCTCTTCCTCGACGTTTGGGAATTCAATCAGGACTGGGCCGATGTGCGCATCGCAAAGGACGTCCTACCTTCCCTTCTCGACCTGCTCCCGCCATCGCTCCACCATGCCCACGAGCCACTGCTACAGGACCTGGGCCTCGCACAGGCAATCTTTAATTCATACCCACCCCCCGCCTCTGCCCCATCTCACCACGATGACCGCTTTTCCCCGAATCTCCGCCCATCGCCGCGGGCCGGCAAAGGCCATGTCTTCTTCCAGGATTACCAGCCCCTGTCCGTCATCAATCCGTGGATGAGTCTCATGGCCTCCATGTTTACTACCCACGTCCGCCGCATCAATGTTGGCATCAGCTACCAAGGCCGCGAAATGCCCGCCCTGCGTGTCGGTGTGCACCCCACCAACGACGATGAACCATCGCAACCAAGGAAGACCATCCTCGTCACAGGCGGTATACATGCCCGTGAGTGGATATCGACTAGCACAGTCAACTACCTGGCCTGGAGCTTCATCAATGCCTACGGAAAGGACCGCGAGATGACGCGCCTGTTGGAAGAATTCGACTTTGTATTCGTCCCAACCTTGAACCCAGATGGCTACGTCTTTACGTGGGAGACGGACCGTCTATGGCGCAAGAATCGCCAACCTACCAGACTGCGTTTCTGCAACGGCGTAGACCTCGATCGCAGCTATCCGTACATGTGGGACGGTGAATCAGCGCAGTCAAGCCCCTGCAGTGAATCTTTTCCTGGTGATGCACCATTCGAAGGCGTCGAATCCGCACGCTTCGCTGCATGGGCAAGAAATGAGACTGAAAACAACAATGTTGAGTTTGTGGGCTTCCTGGACCTGCACTCATACTCACAACAGATCCTGTATCCGTATAGCTACTCGTGCCATGAAGAACCACCTGCCATTGAAGACCTTGAAGAGCTCGCCATGGGCTTGGCCAAGGCTATCCGCGTCTCCCGCAAAGGTCAGACGTACAAGGTGACGTCTGCATGTGAAGGCAATGTGGCGTTCTACAACGAAAAGAAGAAGATCTTTCCGCGCATCGAGTCGGCTGGCGGTAGCGCACTCGATTTCTTCTACCATGAGATGAAAGTAAAATATTCTTACCAGGTCAAGCTAAGAGACACAGGCAGTTATGGGTTCTTGCTACCAAAAGAGAACATTATTCCAACAGGAGAGGAGATGCTGGATGCGCTTTTGTATTTTGGGCGCTATTTGCTCGGTGAGGTCGGCATTGCTCAGCAAGGCAATGAGGCCAAGGTAGCCAAGTCCGACGAAGACTGGGTTGTTGTATCAAAGGATGGTAATGTCGGTGGCCTTGAGACTGAGTCTGAGATCACGGAGTTGTAATTTACGTTCATGTATTGTACTCAAGAAATAGTTTTTACACATCGCACACACCTAGTCTTGTCATATGTGCGTGTGCTACGCGAACTCGATGGGACTCTTTTCGCAAAGCAAAACATGGCAAAAGCCTGTTGCGGTAAACTGCGGGCCTTGTGCAATCATACTTGACCACTTCGAGCCGACGCGTGTCATTGCGCAATGCTCGTGCAGATGCGGGGATAGTGATGATGACGGCCTGCTTGCTTTGGATTCATGGCAGGCACATGAAGCATTGGATGCAAGCAAGCCACAGAGCGTTCAAGATGGCGCCCGGGATCCAGTTGGTTTTTATCAACGGTCCTGCATGTAGCGGTCGTTCACTTGCACGTGGACCCCGTCCGTGCCGTTAGGCGAAAGCTAAGATCCTTACAACGTCATGGCTTCAAAGTCTCAGTGAAGCAACAGCTTCCGCGTCTGCCACCGTCATTTTGGCGCTGCCGACACCCGGAATCTACCATTGCACCGTTGTCGTCTTCCGTCGCAATTCACTCTTCCACTACTGACCATCAATTTGACGTGCAACACAAACACATAGCCTGTCATGGCATCACAAGCTACGGAGACGACTCCCTTGGTGTCGTCAATGTCGAGCTCAAGTCGAGCAACACCCCATAAACCTCAGCGCACCGTCACTTTCAACCCGACCGTTCTATCCACCAGCCCCAAACCCTCCTCGCCTCGCTCGTTATCCCACGGCGCGTCCTCTTCGGGTCATGCTGCCACGACCCAAGGCGGGCAGCCAATGCTGTCGACCTTGAACAGCAAGCTACGGAGGAGAAACAGTTCAGGCGCTCCTGCTCGGATACCTCCCGCGCCGGTGCCCAAGATTGGTCCGCAAAGAACGACGAGGACTGCCCAGAAACTGAAGCTCCTCCCCGATCCGGCTGCCGATGAGGCCGAAGACGAGGAGAGTGGACGCGACGTATATGTGCAATACACGCGCATCAAAGACCCCACCGCAAGAAGAGATGCTGCAAGGCTTGGAAAAGCAGACAGAGAACGGTTACCCAGAGTGACGGCATATTGCACTGCTGCTTCCTACAAACTTGACGAGATGATGCGATTTCTGAAGGGAAAGCAGAAGACAAGAGGCGCTTTGCCCAAGCGTTTTGATGAGTGCATATACTCGCCATACAGCTACGGTTCAACGAAGGGTCCAGAGGAGATTAGTAGTACTGCCGTATTGGGCGACTATCCAGAGGAAAGACCAAGGAGATTCTCAGACAGCGCGATTGAAGTAGAACACGAGAATGAGCGGAGAAGACAGGACATTATCGACTTACATGATGGCGGTGATGCGCCCGATATTACCAACGAGCAAGCCGTGAGCCAGAGACGTCCTTCCATCACCCATGCCGATTCCGACCCCCCAATGGACACACCTGACTTCGATACACGCGTACATACACCAGAAGTCTTTCTTTTCGAATACGGAACTGTTGTATTATGGGGCATGACGCTCCAAGAAGAGAAGAAATTCCTCAAGGAGATTGCAAAGTTCGAGGTGGACAAGCTCGGCAAGGATGAGATTGAGACGGAAGAATTCAATTTCTACTACACACGCGAATACCAGGCCCGGATATACAACGATTTCATCAGTCTGCGCGACAAGAAAAACTACATGATCAAGCTCGCCATCAGTCACGGACTGTCTCAGAGTGTTAAGACGTCGCTATTCGAAGACCTAGTGGACAACACGATTGACGAAACCAAGGACATTCCAGCCGAGATTGCGAGCTCGGGAAAGATCAATCTCAACAAGAAACAGATCAACATGCAGATAGGAGAGCTGTTCATCCTCCGCATTAGTATACATTTGCAAGGATCTGTTCTCGATGCGCCGGAGCTGATGTGGGCAGAGCCACAACTGGACCCGGTCTACCAGGCGGTGAGAAGCTATTTGGAAATGGATCAGCGTGTCAGTCTCTTGACCGAAAGGTTGAACGTCATTGGTGATCTGCTTGCTGTGCTGAAGGATCAGCTGACTGTAACACATGTAAGTTGGGCTTTTGCCCGCCCATATCTTGAAGACGAGCCTGGCTAACGAGGAACACAGGGTGAACTACTCGAGTGGATTGTAATTATTCTGATTTTCGCAGAAGTTCTCGTTGCCGCTATCAACATTTTTGTTGACCTGCACGCTGCAGATTAGGTTATTGGCATTACTTTTCTTTTTCCCCACGGTGTACGATAGTCGGCTTGCGGCTCCGCATAACGGGCGTTCGGGGACACAGTTGAATGGGTCTGCGGCATGGCGTTGTAAGTGATTGGCGTCAAATATATGTTTTAGTTAGCTGTTCGAGCAGAGGCGGATGGGGTAGTTTGGAGGACTGTTTTCTTCTTCCTTTCTTCCTTTTTCTTTTACGATAGCAGCTTTTTGGGCCAATGGAAATAATGTTTCGTCATGGTTTTAGTGGTGACTTGGCTGAGAGTGGCTGGTTTGACGAGGACGAGGTTAATGTCGTCGCTACTCGCTATACGGAACACGTTTTCTAATGCGAGACGAGACTGACAAGTGCTCTCTTATGGAAACGCGCTGTCATGGAGGAGAAACTTGGGTAGCATTAGCAAGTGGCACAACAATGCATGATTACTCTCTCAGGCGG